CCTAGTCTGAGCTCCAAGAGAAATAGACAGCTGAATTTTGTGGGCGTGGCCTATGTTTTGAAATAGCGCCCCCTAGGACCATTTAAACTATTAGCCCCAAGCCATGCTTTGACTGAGGATTACGAAATTTGGTACACTAATGTGGTGTCTCAGGACCTACAAAAAAGTCTCTTGGAGTCAAGTTCAAAGTCGCACAGGAAGTCGGCCATTTTGGATCAAGTACGCGATTTAGTGGTTTTCGCACACGTTGTTTGGAGAGTGATGCTCCGTCGCCCTTTTCACCAATCTCCTTCAAACTTCTGCTATATACCCTTAAGACATAGGGGAAAAAATTTAACCGTCGGATTTTTCAAAAGTTGAAAGGTGTGGGCGTGGCTAAGCCTCAAACTTTGACCTGTCGCCACGCTACTCTTATTTTCACAGCTCCCTACTGGACTCCTTTTACCCAATCACCAGGATTCTGTGGCAAACAGCAGTAGACAAGTTGAGGTTACTTGGTCTCCAGTACTGGCAGGTTTTGAAAAAAGGCGGGGCTTTGGGACCATGGCGAAAATCGCCATCACGCCATGGAAATACGTTTGTCTCATTTCTTCAGTTATCGTGATATTGCTACGAAACTTCTGGTGAGTGATCCTAGTCTGAGCTCCAAGAGAAATAGACAGCTGAAGTTTGTGGGCGTGGCCTATATTCTTAAATAGCGCCCCCTAGAGCCATTAAAACTTTCAGCCCCAAGCCATGCTTTGACTGAGGATTACGAAATTTGGTACACTAATGTGGGGTCTCAGGACCTACAAAAAAGTCTCTTGGAGCCAAGCGTAAAGTCGCACAGGAAGTCGGCCATTTTGGTGCAAGTACGTGATTTAGTGGTTTTCGCACACATTGTTTGGAGAGTGATGCTCCGTCGCCCTTTTCACCAATCACCTTCAAACTTCTGCAATACACTCTTAAGACATAGGGGAAAAAATTCAACCGTCGGATTTTTCAAAAGTTGAAAGGTGTGGGCGTGGCTAAGCCTCAAACGTTGACCTTTCGCCATTACTTTACTTGACTTAATAACTCCCATGTGCATGATCAGATCTTTTTCGAACTTTGTCTGTGTGATCATTGACCATATCTGTAAACAATGACAATGTGGACAGCTGACATCACCTAAGCCCCGCCCCCTGACTACAGGAATTTATTTTTTATGCTGAAATGCCCATATTTGTCCCCTCTAATTTAGTCAACATGACCCTAAGGTCATGCACTGTCTTCATGATGCTGTAATGACCATTCAGATCTGATAGCTTTCCAGAAAGGGAGGGGCTTTGATGCCATGGCGAATTCTGGCGTAACGCCGTAATCTTAATATTCAATTTAATGGTGAGCTCAGAGGGGATGCTGAGTCAGGGTGAGGTGCAGACTAGGAGGCCATTCGCGGTTTCTGGTGTCGGGGTGGTTGACGTTTCTGTTCTGTCAGACGTGCACTGGTGCGACGGCAGACCGGAGCGGCGCGGAGCTGCGAGGGCCGAACGACGCTGCTTGCAGCTTTAATTATTATTATTATTTATTATTCCGTGCGCGAAATGAATGGCTTTTTGGGGACCTTAACATACCCCAAAACTCACAATATTTTGCACAATTGTCAGGCCTGGTGAAAAATTTGATATTTTAAAGGTCCCAAAAAAATCGCAAAGAAAATGGCTGAACAGCGCCCCCTACAAAGTGAAAAAAACCCCTCTCCATAAAGCTTAGTTTATCGTACAGTTATGAAATTTGGTACACTTGTAGTACTCAACAGTCCGCACAGAAAAGTCTCTTGCAAGCATGGTCAATATCAAACAGGAAGTCGGCCATTTTGGGATGAAATGGCGATTTTTGGCCGTTTTTGCCGTTTTTAGGGTCAGTCTCTGATTGGATTGCTCGATCAATTTTCGCACGATCGTCTCAAAAATGGTATAAAATTGCTCAGAAGAAATGGCCGAACAAAATGAGACAAGGATTCTGAGTTTTCGTATATGCTGAAGGGGCGGGGCCAGGCCTCGAAGTTTGACTACTCGCCAAAAAAATTAAAACTGCTATAACTTCATAATTGAATGGAATAGAGTTACCAAACTTTCTGTGGTCATTTGTCATCCTCCCACAAAGTAAAATGAATGGTCGGATGATGACATCACACAAGCCCCGCCCCCTCAGGACCAAAAAGGTCAAGTTTTACTATGAAAGGTCCCAAATGGCCCCATTTCACTCAATCCCCACAAATTTGTAACTGTTAACTCAAGACAAGTGGGGGTTGCTTGGCGTCACTTTATGGGAGTTTTCGACAGAGGGCGGGGCTGTGGCGGCGCGGCGAAGTCAGGCGTACCGCCGTGGCCTTACGTTTGCCTCCCATTTCGTCATTTCTAAAAATATCGTCACGAAACTTCTTGTGAGTGATCCTAGTCCGGCCCCTCAAAAGAACTGATGTGAACATCCGGTGGGCGTGGCCTATTTTCTGAAATAGCGCCCCCTAGGACCTTTAAAACTGTCAGCCCCAAGCCATGCTTTGACTGAGGATTACGAAATTTGGTACACTAATGTGGTGTCTCAGGACCTACAAAAAAGTCTCTTGGACCCAAGTGCAAAGTCGTACAGGAAGTCGGCCATTTTGGTCCAAGTACGCGATTTAGTGGTTTTCGCACACGTTGTTTGGAGAGTGATGCTCCGTCGTCCTTTTCACCAATCTCCTTCAAACTTCTGCCATATGCTCTTAAGTCATCGGGGAAAAAATTCAACCGTCGGATTTTTCAAAAGTTGAAAGGTGTGGGCGTGGCTAAGCCTCAAACTTTGACCTTTCGCCACGCCACTCTTTTTTTCACAGCTTCCTATTGGACTCCTTTTACCCAATCACCAATAATCTCTGGCAAATAGCAGTAGACAACTTGAGGTCACTTGGTATCCAGTACTGGCAGGTTTCGAGTAAAGGCGGGGCTTTGGCAGCATGGCGAAAATCACCATCACGCCATGGAAATACGTTTGCCTCTCATTTCTTCAGTTATTGTGATAGCGCTACGAAACTTCTTGTAAGTGATCCTTGTCTGACCCCCAAGAGACAAACATAGCTGAAATTTGTGGGCGTGGCCTATTTTCTTAAATAGCGCCCCCTAGGACCATTTAAACTAATAGCCCCAAGCCATGCTTTGACTGAAGATTACGAAATTTGGTACACTAATGTGGGGTCTCAGGACCTACAAAAAAGTCTCTTGGAGCCAAGCGTAAAGTCGCACAGGAAGTCAGCCATTTTGGTCCAAGTACGCGATTTAGTGGTTTTCGCACACGTTGTTTGGAGAGTGATGCTCCGTCGCCCTTTTCACCAATCACTTTCAAACTTCTACTATATACTCTTAAGACGTAGGGGAAAAAATTCAACCGTCGGATTTTTCAAAAGTTGAAAGATGTGGGCGTGGCTAAGCCTCAAACTTTGACCTTTCGCCATTACTTTACTTGACTTAATAACTCCCATGTGCATGATCAGATCTTTTTCGAACTTTGTCTGTGTGATCATTGACCATATCTGTAAACAATGACAATGTGGACAGCTGACATCACCTAAGCCCCGCCCCCTGACTACAGGAAGTCTATTTTTTTATGGTGAACTGCCCATATTTGTCCCCTCTAATTTAGTCAACATGAAACAAAGGTCATGCACTGTCTTCATGATGCTGTATTGACCATTCAGATCTGATAGCTTTCCAGAAAGGGAGGGGCTTTGATGCCATGGCGAATTCTGGCGTAACGCCGTAATCTTAATATTCAATTTAATGGTGAGCTCAGAGGGGATGCTGAGTCAGGGTGAGGTGCGGACTAGGAGGCCATTCGCGGTTTCTGGTGTCTGGGTGGTTGACGTTTCTGTTCTGTCAGACGTGCACTGGTGCCCCGGGCTGCCGTCCAGACCGGAGCGGCGCGGAGCTGCGAGGGCCGAACGACGCTGCTTGCAGCTTTAATTTTCTTTGTATTTATATTATCTAGCTAATTTTTCCCTGTAGTTTCTTAGGTTCAGGTTTTCTTCTAGGCCCTTCCCCACCGGTTTATTAGTTCTCCTTTCCTTCTTAGATCATTAGTTATTTGTCTTCTTCTTCTAGTCTTTAGGTTTGGTTATTATTCATAGGTCATGTTTTATTTCTCCTCCTCAGCTTAGTTTCCTCTCCCTGATTAGTAGATTGATTTCACCAGGTTTCTCTCTCCCCACGCACCTGCAGCTCATCCCCCAATCATCCTGCCCTGTGTTTAAAACCCTGTCTGTGTCTCAAGCCCTGTCCACACGTAGCTGGGGATCTGCCAAAACGTAGATATTTTTCTACGTTTTGGCCTGGAAAACTGGAGTTTTAAGGTCCGCAACGTCACTTTCCGCGACAAAAAAATGCTGACATCACGTGTGCGACCTGTGTTTACACTAGCCGACAGCATGGATGCCCTCAGAGCTGCGCTCGCTTTATCAATTGTCCAAGCGCTTTCTGCTTGTTTGTTTTTGCAAGCGGAATTACTGCTCCTTGCGGAAGACCACAGACGAAGGACGAGGTTAAGAACGGGGGAAGTACTGCCGCCTACAGGTCTGGCATGTCCTTAACAACGTATTTATCCGGGTACGTGTGGACAGAGTTTGTTTTTAAAACGAGGTGGTGTGGATGCAAGTTTCTGGAGGGGCGGATATTCGTTTTTTAAAAACCAGCTACGTGTGGACTAGGCCTCAGTGTGGTTGTTGGTCCATTGTTTGTGTCAGCGTTGTCTCGCCCCCCTCTCTAGGTATTTGGAATTTCTCTAGGTCTCTTGTGTTTTTAGATATTCCCAGGTTTTGATTCTTGGATTTTTGGTTTTGGGCTTCCAGCCCTTTGGATTTACCCCTAAATAAAGGATTTTTACATCTTCACAACTCCTGCCTTGTTATCCTGGGGCTGCATCTTGGGTCCTAACCTCCCCTAACTCACAGCGTGACAAAGAAGATGCAGGACACACAGATTCACAGGAAGAAGCCAATGACTTACATTCTTGTGTCCATCCCTGAGCACCTTGTGAAGCAGATAGCAGAACTTCCAGCTGACCATGGAGTGGCTGGACAGCGGCAGGTTGAGAACGTAGGACCAGAAGGTGGTGGCTCCGCCCTCTTTGTGAGTTCCCAGGATGATGTCTTCCCATTGGTTAAGGACACTCTCAGACACCAATGCATAACATCAACTTTGAGCTGAAACTGATTTTTTGACTTGCTGAAGATGTGCTGGACTGTTAAACCCTCTGATTGCTCTACCTCCTGAGCTGCTGCTGCCCCAAGACGGAGCAGGAGATCGGTAAGCAGCTTGCTGCTGCATCTGCAGTGAAACAGAGAGACATAGTCCCTCCAGTGTGTTTTCCTTAAGGTCTCCTCCCAGTTGGACATGCTTAGAAAACATCACCATGGTGGATCTACTCCGAACCTCTCCAAGATGACAGAGCTTCTCAACCCATCTCCAAGAGAGCCCAGTCACCCTGCGGAGAAAACTCAACGCTTGCATCAAACATCGCAGCACCAATCCGCCTATCGATCTCAAGCTCCAGCTTGAACAAGACCCCCAGACACGTAAACATCACTTGAGACAGGACCTCGTCCCTGACCTGGAGAAGGCATTCTCCCCCTGTCTGACTAATATAAACTGCGTCATCCTGATAAATAATTTTAACCATCTACCATTCTCACTCCCTTTTGGTTTGTAACATCCACTTATGGTTATTTAACGTAACTGCTTTGCACTAAAACGTGTGTGTGTGTACGTATGTGGGGTGTGTGTGTGTGTGTGTGTGTGTGTGTGTGTGCCTAAGGTATCTCAAGTTTGTCATCAACATTGTGGTAATATGTCCTTTAATAAGAACGTTTATATGGGGAGATGCGGTAGTGCCAGTGTTAACTTGCATTACTTTTATACTTTAAAACCAGTACCTTTTTACTTTTACTCAACTTCCACAGAAATCATATTAACACTAGTATCTATCCTCCTATCCCTGCAATGAATCACCAATAAGAGCTTAAACAGCTGTTACAGTAACGTCTGGGCAGCTATACCCTCTGCTGCTTGGTTTTCATTACCGAGATAAAGGACGCAGGCGTAGGTCAGGCTCGTGAGCTAGCCCTTTGTGTGGTATTATTTAGCTAGCAAAGCTCCTGAGATGCAACAAAGGTGTCATGACCCAATCAGCGCCTTAAACTCTGACCTAACTACAATGCTAACAGAGACAGGCTAATGTGTTACGATCCTTTACCATCACTTCCTAAGCCTTCCACATCTATTTTATTTTAGTGAAGCAGTGAGATTAAAGAGGAAACTGTCAGGCCATCTCACATCAAGCACTGTCCTTACATCCTCCTGAAAGGTCGAGCTAGAGGTCATCTGTGTCAGAGGTGACATCACACAACTGCAGCTGTGTGTGTGTGTGTGTGTGTGTGGGGGGGGGGGGGGGGCTGTGGAGTTCTTAGTTTCTGTACACATTTTCTCCAAGACCCAGACGGCAGTTTTCCAGGATCAGCTGTTTCGCTCATAAGAACCAGAATCTGATCAGAGGTCAGCAGACTGAGACATGGCAGATGTGAAACCGAACGCTATCGTAGGTCATTCATCCCCTCTGCAGTAAGCGTGTTAACTCCTCAGCTTAACTGGTACTGGCATTATCCTGGTTCACAATGACATCCATGCAATACTCAGTGTGTTCAATACCTGCACAATAGCACATTTACATGGTATGTCTGTGTCGCTTATGCTGCATTGTTCTACCTTTTTATTCATGGTTTTAGAGGCTGAAGGTTACAATGCCAGTTTACTGCCTATGTGTATTTACCATTGCCATTTCCTTCAAATTCTTCTGTTTGTGCCGCTGTAACAAGTGAATGTCCCCACTCTCATGGGTGTGGGGCTACTGAGTAGCTGTGGAGCAGGGGCGGGTCCAGTATTTTCTGGAGGGGTGGCCAGTGCCCCACCCCAGTCCACCCTCTGGAGCCACCCCTGCTGTGAATATCAGCAGCATCTTGGGCCTTGTTTCATAGGTATTGTTTGTAGCAGCTATATAATTATGTTAATGTGGTTTTTACCTAAATGTTTCTTGGCCATCACTGACTGACACACACACACACACACACCTCACAAGAACCACTAAACACACGTAAGGTCAGATTCGGCGCTGCTTTAGATTTGACGCACACACCATGAGTTGGCCTAAATCCGCCGTAGTGGAACATCTGAGTCGCTTATTGAAGAACCACGGATGATGATCACATGTAAAGTTGATTAATCACTTAGAGGAACCAAGTTAGATGTTTTGTAAAGTGGGTAAAACACATGACAAACCCAGAATCTATTACCGAGTAAACATTGTTTATCTTCAACGAACAACAAACACTCGTAAACGTTTCAACAATTCAATGAAAAACAGGGAAATCTTGGGTGCTTCAAACCTTTTCATCTACTCAGGTTCACACCAGATCCATTTTATATAAATGTCTACTTGTTTTATTAGCGGTCAAACCAACCGTTCAGAGGACAGCTTTAAACATTTCAGTGCCTTTTGGGATGTTTCCTAAATTCATCACATTAATTATTTCATCCTTTATTAATTCACCCTTTATTAATTAGTAATAACCGCATAACTACACTCTCACAGCACTTTTCACTTAGCATGCGAACAAGCAGCATAAAATTAACCTGTCTTTCTTACGACTTTCACACGTCACCAGATCTTCAAACGTGTTTTTTAAAGATCTGAAGGAAGCGTTTAATAATACGTAGACAGCTTGTGAACCAGGAACCACCATTAAAAAGATACTGCGCACATATTTCTCTTTGGGTGGGACTTCGGCGGTGGCCACGCATTTACTGATGCTCAGGAGCTGCAAGAAACCAGCATGAAAACCAACTGTTAGCTTCCTGCAAACACGAGTCATTCTAAAAGGTTTTAGTGAGAAAAGACACCGCTCTGAAACGATTCATTCAAATCAAACAGTAAAGTGTTAAATGAAAGTTTTTTTAGCAGTTTTACCTCCAGAATCAGGCTCTAGACGTCATTTACTCACCTGTTGTTTGCTGAACTGTTCCTTCTCTGCAGCCAAAGCTTTTTCGGTCTTATTTTCACTTTTATTCTTGGTTTTGCTCATTGTGTGCCTTTATAGGTAGCTGAATAAATCCAGAAGAATCCAGCTGGGTCAGGTGCTCTCAGCGCTCCAGTTAAACAGGATTTCTTCTCCGCCACGCTCACCTTTACGGTTAAAACCTAAAAACCTGTGTAGCAAGGTTCCAAATCTAGCCCACAAATCCACACGTGACAGATGTGTAAACCAGGAAACTAAAGAAATAAACGAATAAAAACCACAGACATGTAGTTTTTACATGAAGGGCTTCATCAAGAGAAGCAGGACCTCCAGGTTACACGAACAGCTACAGAGGTTTCCTCACATCTCAGGGCTGACCTGGAAGCTGTGAAACTGGAAAAACAAACCACTGATCAGCCCAGTAGGACTGGTTTCACGTCTCACTCCAAACAAAACCGCCTTTTAGAAAAGACATTGTGTAAATTTGTTCATCTGTTAGATTATACCGGCGGCGTCGACCACCTTCAGGGACAAAACATTATTACGGTTATAAAAATACACACAAGTGTCTTTTCCTGAGTTCCATATGTGGCGTGGCCACGCCCACTCATTTAATGACATAATACTGATTTCCTTTGTTTTATCGACATGCTGATTTAGTGACTGTACAATAGACCACATGATCTGGTGTAAATACTGCTGGCGTGTTTTCATATCCCAGCCTTTTAACATCGTGCTTCATTCTTTTCATTATAGTTCATTATTGTCCATCATTTCTCTTGTTGAAACTATTTTCTCCTCACATCGTGACACACACTGATAATTACTGACATTTTCACACAGAAGATTCTTTCCTCCTTAAAGTCCGTCGTCTGCCCGACTGGCAGGCTGGGTGACACTGGGATGGAGACAAGAACTGGGTGGATCAACGCCGGCCTGTATAAAAAAACACCTGTTAACAGACCCTGACGTTTAACACCCTCCGTGCCACACCCCTGTGAGACACGAAGATCGTCAAACCTTGTGTAATGAGGTATTTGGGCGGAGATGATAGGCTCTCAGACACTCGTGGACGTAAAGCGGGTCAGCAACCCTGCGGCTGGAGACCGGGTCGGTCCGCTGTGGTAAGCTGAGGCGTTTGGGGCTGCTGCTGCTTTGTGAAGCAGCCTGGACTCACCCAACAGGTGCTGCAGAGAGCACCTAGACAGATGATCACTGCCCTGCTGGCACACGGAGAGGAGACTGTCACAGGTAAAGAGCAAGTCACCCCCAAATCAACACTATTTGCAGATAAACTGTATAAATGAGTGTCCAATCATGCTGCAGACACGTGTAGTCAATAATTTGACACATTAACGCATCTTAGTTCAAATTTAAATAATCTGCCTAAAACTGTTAATGTTGCGCCGTTCTCAGGTAAAAACTCTGTCCTGCATTTGAATTTAAATCTGCCACCGCTATTGGCTAAGAGGTACACGACGACGTTAGTTGGTACATTATGATGTCACAATGCTGTTGTGAGCCTGTGTGTGTATTTGTTTGCGGCTCCGCCCTCTCGGTCTGCCAGGCAACAACATTTGTTGCATTTTTCAAACATGAGGTGGGAGGGGAGTGAGACTCTGGTAGGGGGTGACTTGCACTTTAAAATTAGAAAACGTGACGTGTGAATGAAGCTGCAGGCAGAATCAACGTCCTGCAAAAAAGCAATAAAAGTGAACGAACAGCAGGTCTTTGTGTTTAACCCTGTGGAGGCAGGCGTGGCAGACCTACCTACCTGGTTACTCCACACGCGTGTTTCACGAGCATTTTTATCTCAGAAGTTCCCCTGAAGGACTCAGTTGTTCGTCCTTTTATCAGAACTTATTTTGAGCCTGAGAGGGTTAAAGGGGCTTCAGGGTTTGATTGGTTTCTAGTCTAACTGGTGCGTTCTGCTTCCAGATTAAACAGATTTTTTGAATTGTTGAAATCTACTGAGAGGCGAAATTCTCAAACTTCTGAGTAGAAAGTCAAACTTAAGAGATTAAAATCAGGATTTTCATTTTTTTCTGAGATTTAAATAAGAAATTCATTTTTTCCTCGCCCATAAATATCTATCGTAAGAGATTTTGTTGAAAATTTAAACCAAAAAACACTATTTTGTTCCTTTATCACAATAAAAAAAATCAAACTTAAGAAAAGGAGCATAATTCTTTTATGGGATGTTGATATTTGCAGAAAGCGATGCAACTATATTAGTGGAGCTTTCAGTATGATATGCAAATTCAGTGTAATTGTACCTTTGTTGTTATTTTTCTTTAAACAATTCTCTTCAGTGTTGGTGCTGCTGAAACTGTGGGAGGTCTGAACTATTCTATTGTTTAACCAGCACTGAATGACTTCTAAAGTGAATTTGATCATTTTTAACCAATGTTATGAGAAGCCATCGCTGCAGGCCCCTTGAGCTCCATGTGGCTGCAGGGTCGCTCCGGGTTGAGTCCAGGTTTACACCTCAGGTTTGTCAGAGCTAGCTAGCTCCTGACTGTAGCTCCACGAGTCAGAGGGATCAACCACGCTCCCTCTGCACCTTAAACCTTTTAAACTCTGTGCTGAGATGAATGCAACCGTTTTTCATTCCGACTTGTGTGTAATAAAGTCCGTTTATAAACACAGCTCACATCTGTAACACGTGCCGACAGGACTCCTGGTTTGTTGTTGGTTTGGAGATCAGTTACTGCTAAAGCATCGTGATCGGGCCTCCGGTTCGTCCCTCGAAGACTTCGAGATGACGGATGGTCCAGATGGCTACATGCCAACTCGTCCTGGCTGGGACACAAACACAGTACAACATTTCCTTCATGCCTCTGCTGGTAACTCAAAATACAACTTCATCACAAAAGGTTTCATTAGCATCGTCGCCCTCCCAGGAGACAAGCCGCTTTCTGAAGCTAAGCCAGATCTAAATCCTTCCTCTTCTACTAAACTCAAGTATCAGAACTTTGTGGGCCGGGTTCAGCAGAAACACCACCGCACGGATCAAGGAGCTGAGGGGGTTTTCTGCAGGCACAGACCCACCACATCACCAGTGGCCTTCCACATCACCAGCATTGATATAGTGGACTCTCGTAAGCACACGTGTTCACCAGAATAATAATCTGGATTACAGCTGAGAGGAAGCAGTTAGGCCAGACTCTAATGCAAGATCATTAGGCGGATTTTTGATCTTCTGAAATTTTTTCGGACACTTGTTAGGTAAAAATGGCTGACATGAATATTATTACTGCTCTTCTCGTTATAATTGTTTTTACATCTTGTGCTTTATTAAATGCAAGCTTTTCCGGTGCCAGTCTCCCCACTAGAACACGCGGGTCTGTGTGTTTTCTGTTTCTCTCCATGGGAACCAGCAGGTTGAATGGATGCACCTGCTTCCGTATGAGGGAGTTGTGAAACTTGGAATGATTTAAATAGCATGTTATTTAATAAGCAATAAGGCGCAGGATTCCATAGGAAAGATGAAATCACCCTTATGGATCTGCTGGGTTATTTTAACCAGAAGATCGGAGCTTTTTATTGCAGGGATTAGATAACAGCTTCATATTCACTCAGAGACAACACAAGAGAGTCAAGTTTAAACAACCAGCGAGCTGTCTGTTGCATGTAACGTGTAGCCAATCAGAAATTGGGGCGGTGGAAGCACGCTGCACGCTCATCCTCCGCCATGTTTAAGAGGTTTTGGGAGATTTCGCCTCTGACCGGGTGAACGTTCGTGTGAGAAACTGGTCCATGTGTAGTTTTGCTGTGTGGCCACACACTGTAGGGCCAACACTGTGATTTTGTTTATCACCAAGTGTGTGTTCAAGTGTGTGTTCTCCAGAGATGGGAATTATGACATCAACAAGTCAACTCCATGCTGGCAACTGAACCACGTTCGTTCACTGTGCTGACTGAAATGCTAAACGGCCTTCTAGAGTCCTGGAACCCCCCAAGGCGCTTTACAACACAATCAGTCATTCACCCATTCACACACACACACTGGTGGTGATGAGCTACAATGTAGCCACAGCTGCCCTGGGGCGCACTGACAGAGACGAGGCTGCCGAGCACAGGCGCCACCGGTCCCTCCGACCACCACCAGCAGGCAAGGTGGGTTAAGTGTCTTGCCCAAGGACACAACGACAGCGACAGACTGAGCGGGGCTCGAACCTGCAACCTTCCGATTACGGGGCGAGCACTTAACTCCTGTGCCGCCGCCGCCCCCTGAAATCACCTGGTTTAGTTGCCGAGCAGAAGAAAATCACGGCATGGAGACGACTTGTTGGTGCCACAGTTCCTCATCTCTGGTTTTCTCTTGTGGTTTCAAACTGGTCCGATCCCGCTAGAATCCTGCTGTGTGAACTGGGAGTTACATGAGCTCTTCAGGAAGGACAGCTCTGTCCTAGTGGGCCCCCTTGACCCGGGTCAAGAGACAGGACTGTCGACATCATCCTTGGACGATGTCTCCTACCCCAAGTATGAACTGTTACTGTCTTACTGTAGATCCGTCCTCACAGCAGCTGTAAGGACTTGTGAAGGAATTCAATGTGACTTTTTATTTTACAGTTTTTATATCATTTTTACGTTTGTGTGAAGATGTGCACTCGGGATTGCCCGTAACTCGCCGCTGGTGCATCGTGGGACAATAAAGGATTCTATTCAGCTGTGGCTACATCGTAGCTCATCACCACCAGTGTGTGAATGTGTGTGTGAATGGATGAATGATACACTGTAGTGTAAAGAGCTTTGGAGTCCTTACTCTGAGAGGCGCTGTACAAGTGCGGGTCATTTATCATTTATTTATCATTTAGATGAACATAAATGCACCCCTCAGAGCATCGACGTCTCAGAGAATCTAACCGACAACCTGGAGTCGTGGTGAGAAAACAGTCGGATCACTCCGAGGCATGCTGACAAACTGGTCACCTCTAACACCAACAAGTGATCAGGGAATGAGGAAAGACCAGTTTCAGAGTGGAGCTGCTTTTCTCTAGCTGGGGAGGGGGTTGAACATCAGTTTCTCTGTTGTTGGTTTTGGTTTTTAGGTTTGATCTGTGTCGCGTTATGCAGACACCTTACCTGCCGCAGGCAGCGCAGCGCAGACATGATGCGTTCCTGTTTGGTGCGAGACAGCTCCAGCAGCTGTCGCCCTCCCCTGCTGAAGAGCGAGACTCGGTCTCAGCAAGTGTGGTGGCTCCTCTCACGGAGAGGTGACATCACGGGCAGAACGATTCAATCTAACGCCAAACCTCACACCACTGATACACACAAATGTGTTTGCACGTTAATAAACCGTGTCATAAATCCAACCAGCTATAGTTCGGTATGAATGCATCATCTCCCTCTGGGATGAAACACAAACTAAATACATGTCTGTTCTTTTCTAAACTCTGTAGCTTTAGCGAATCTCAGCCAACATGACATCATAATGATCCATCCACCCATCCATCCATCCACCCATCCATCCATCCATCCATCCATCCACCCATCCATCCATCCATCCATCCACCCATCCATCCATCCATCCATCCATCCATTTTCATCCGCTCATCCGGAATCGGGTCGTGGGGGCAGCAGCCTAAGACGAGAGGCCCAGACTTCCCTCTCCCCAGCCACTTGGGCCAGCTCCTCCGGGGGAATCCCAAGGCATTCCCTGGCCAGGTGAGAGACATAGTCCCTCCACCGTGTCCTGGGTCTACCTTTAGGTCTCCTCCCGGTTGGACGTGCCCGGAAAACCTCACCAGGGAGGCATCCAGGAGGCATCCCGACCAGATGCCCGAGCCACCTCAACTGGCTCCTCTCGATGTGGAGGAGCAGCGGGTCTACTCCGAGGTCCTCCCGGATGACCGAGCTTCTCACCCTATCTCTAAGGGAGAGCCCAGCCACTCTTCGGAGAAAACTCATTTAAGCCGCTTGTATCTGCGATCTCGTTCTTTCGGTCACTACACAAAGCTCATGACCATAGGTGAGGGTAGGAACGTAGATCGACTGGTAAATCGAGAGCTTCGCCTTCTGACTCAGCTCTCTCTTCACCACGACAGACCGGTACAACGCCCGCATCACTGCAGATGCAGCACCAATCCGCCTATCCATCTCACGCTCCAGTTTCCCCTCACTCGTGAACAAGACCCCGAGACACTTAAACTCCTCCACTTGGGGCAGGACCTCATCCCTGACCCGGAGAAGGCATTCTACCCTTTTCCGAATCAAGACCATGGTCTCAGATTTGGACGAGCTGATTCTCATCCCAGCTGCTTCACACTCGGCTGTGAACCGCTCCAGTGAAAGCTGAAGATCACGTTCTGATGAAGCCAGCAGGACCACATCATCTGCAAAAAGCAGAGACCTGATCCTCAGGCCACCAAAACGGATGCCCTCCACACCTTGGCTGCTCCTAGAAATCCTGTCCATAAAGGTCATGAACAGAATCGGTGACAAAGGGCAGCCTTGGCGGAGTCCAACTCTCACTGGGAACGAGCCCGACTTACTGCTGGCAATGCGGACCAAGCTCTGACACCGGTCATACAGGGACCTAACAGCCCGTATCAGAGGGCCTGGTACCCCATACTCCCGGAGTACCCCCCACAGGCCCCCCCAAGGGACGCGGTCAAACGCCTTCTCCAAATCCACAAAAAACATGTAGACTGGTTGGGCAAATTCCCACGCACCCTCCAGGATCCCCCTAAGGGTATAGAGCTGGTCCAGTGTTCCACGGCCAGGACCAAAACCACATTGCTCCTCCTGAATCTGAGGTTCAACAATCCGACGGACCCTCCTCTCCAGAACCCTGAATAGACCTTACCAGGAAGGCTCAGGAGTGTGACCCCCCTGTAGTTGGAACACACCCTGCGGCCCCCCTTTTTATATAAGGGTACCACCACCCCGGTCTGCCAGTCCAGTGGGACTGCCCCTGATGTCCACGCGATATTGCAGAGCCACATCAGCCAACACAGCCCCACAACATTCAGAGCCTTAAGGAACTCCGGGCGGATCTCATCCACCCCTGGAGCCTTGCCACTGTAGCGTAATGGTTGTTGGCTCTTTTATGAAAGAGGAACCATCCTACATAATAATCTGGAATATTAATTTTAATAAATTAATAACCAAATGTTATAGAGATAAGAAGACTCAAAGTTTGTTTTCATCGATAAACTGACGATCATATCCGTTTGTCTGTGTTTCAGTTCAATGAAAAGACAAGTTTGAAATTTGAGAGTTTTAATTCTTCAATTTAAACTAACGATTTGAAATGACAATCATAGGAAGAACAATCAACATTGGCAACCTTGTTGGACAATCTTTAACAGTTGATATTTTAAGTTTGCTCAAATAGACCTTGTGTTGGATGTGCTAGGATTGAGGATGATGGAATTATGAATGTGTGCATGCAGGTGTCTGAGATTGCTTCAGGTAGAGAAAAGGTGAACTGAATGAAAAATTATGTTTTGCAATTAAACTTTAGTTCTTATTAGAAAAACTGCATCAGAACGCTATCTACCGTGTTCTGCCTCACCATACTTAGGACCCCCTTTCAGATCCAGACCTCGGAGGATGTTTATCCAGATGACACCTTGGCTGGCAGAGAAGACGAAGGTGTGTGACGGTCCAGTCCAGAGTTGACCTCGGTACACGTTGATGAAGCGTTTGGCAGATGCGCTTTCTCAAGTTTAAATTAACTCAGAAATCAAAGACTCTGGACGAGTCTGCGTTAGCTGGTTGCATTTCAGCTATTCTGTCTGGCTTGACAGAAATAGCGTGGGGGGAGAAAAGAGCCGGCAGGGCTCCTTTCCCCGTTGGCGTTTGTTCCGCACGTCCTCTCTCTTTCGTTCTCAATCTCGTTCTGACTAACTTACCAAAACCACTTCTCTTCCCAAAGCAAACTTGTTGTGCGTCAGAGCAAATGTGTTCTGAGTTACTGTGGATCCAGACCTGTGTGAGCGGGTGTGAAGGTCATCGCTAAACATCTTCAAAAACATTATTTAATTGAGTACTGATTCATTATAGTTCATTATGATTACCCAAAGCATAATAATCATTTATTTGATTAAAATACATTTATAATGAGCAAAGTGATAAAATGATTATTTAGCATTAATAAACAAAGAAAGCGTAAGACTCTTTTATTATGACTAGATTGTGTGAGAAGTCCTTCTTCGGAAGCTGCAGGTGTTCTCGATGTTGTGGAGTCCTTCAGACTTGCTGTCGGCTGTTGCTGCGTGACCCAGCTTTGACCCAGCCGGGCAAATACGACCTTTGGCACAGAAAACCCATACTTCCTCACGTTACACCACAGAGGAGCTTTTTAACCACCTCAGTGACCTCAGCACCAGAGATTTGAGAGGCCAACCCAAAGTCCCCAGACTCTGCTTCCTCACTGGAAGATGTGTCGGTGGGATTGAGGAGGTCTTCGAAGTATTCTGCCCACCGATCCACAACGTCTGAGTAGAGGTCAGCAGGACACCGTCCCCCCTATAGATAGTGTTGGTGGCGCACTGCCCCCCCCCCCCCCCCCCCCCCCCCCAGGCACCGGATGGTGGACCAGAATCTCCTCGAAGCCGTACGAAAGTCTTGCTCCTTGGTCTCACCGAACTCCTCCCATGCCCAGGTTTTTTGCCTCGGCGACCACCCGAGCCGCATTCCACTTGGACTGCCGGTACCCGTCAGCTGCCTCAGGAGTCCCACATGCCAAAAAGACCTGATAGGACTCTTTCTTCAGCTTGACAACATCCCTAACCGCCGGTGTCCACCAGCGGGTTCGGGGGTTGCCACCACGACAGGCACCGACGATCCTGCGACCACAGCTCCGGTCGGCCGCCTCAACAATGGAGGCATGGAACAGGGTCCATTCAGACTCAATGTCCCCCGCCTCCCCCGGAACATTTTAGAAGTTCTGTCGGAGGTGGGAATTGAAGCTCCTTCTGACAGGAGACTCTGCCAGACGTTCCCAGCAGACCCTCGCGATACGTTTGGGCCTGCCTGGTCTGACCGGCATCCTCCCCACCATCTGAGCCAACTCACCACCAGGTAGTGGTCAGTTGACAGCTCCGCCCCTCTCTTCACCCAAGTGTCCGGACATGCGGCCGCAGGTCAGATGAAACAACAAAGTCGATCATCGAGCTGCGGCCTAAGGTATCCTGGTGCCAAGAGCACATATGGACACCTTTACGTCTGAACGTGGTGTTCATTATGGACAATCCATGACTGGCACAGAAGTCCAATAACAAAACACCACTCAAATTCAGATCGGGGGGGCCGTTCCTCCCAACCACACCTCTCCAGGGCTCACTGTCGTTGCCCACGTGAGCGTTAAAGTCCCCCAGCAGAACGAGGGAGTCACCGGAAGGAGCGCTCTCCAGCACCCCCTCCAAGGTCTCCAAAAAGGGTGGGTAGTCTGAACTGTAGTTTGGTGCATAAGCACAGACCACTGTCAGAACCCATCCCCCCACACGTAGGCGGAGGGAGGCTACCCTCTCATTCACTGGGGTAAACCCCAACATACAGGCACCAAGATGGGGGACAACTAGTATGCCCACCCCTGCTCGGTGCCTCTCAGTGGGAGCAACTCCAGAGTGGTAGAAAGTCCAACCCCTCTCAAGGAAACTGGTTCCAGAGCCAGAGCCATGCGTTGAGGTGAGCCCGACTATATCTATTCAGAACCTCTCAACCTCACACACCAACTCAGGCTCCTTCCCCACCAGAGAGGTGACGTTCCATGTGCCAAGAGCCAGCTTCTGTAGCCGAGGATCAGACCGCCAAGGTCCCCGCCCTCGACTACCACCCGTCACACACTGAACCCGACCCCTTTGGCCCCTCCCATCAGTGGTGAGCCCATGGGAAGGGGGACCCACGTTTCCTCTTCGGGCTGTGCCCGGCCGGGCTCCATGGGTGAAAGCCTGGCCACCAGGCGCTCGCCGATGTGCCCCACCTCCAGAGGGGGGCCCTGGTGACCCACGTCCGGGCGAGGGAACACGGTTTCCATTTATATAATTCATCATAAGAGGTCTTCGTGCTGCTCTTTGTCTGATCCCTCACCTAGGACCTGTTTGCCATGGGTGACCCTACCAGAGGCAGAAAGCCTCAGACGACTTAGCTCCTAGGATCAGTGAGGCACTCAAACCCCTCCACCACGGTAAGGTGGCAGCCCAGGGATCATAATATCTGATATAGAAATGTAAACACAGAGGAGTATATATTAAATAAATCAAACAGCTGTGGAATCAGAGTATAACATCAATAAATGTCGGTTTCTCTTCACTCTCCAGCAGATTTAGACTGTTTATCTCAAAAAATAAACAAAAATATTAACTTTATAAAATAACTGCCTAAAAAAAACTCTGATCTCAGAGCAGTGAAAGGTCACATCAAAGTTAATTTTGTTTATAAAGAGCATTTCATGCTAAAATCAACACAAAGCGCTTCTCAAATAAAAGCAACAATCCAAATTCAATTCATTTTACACCGTTTTAAAATGAAAAATACAAAATCTGAAGTCACTCGTGCTCACACACCCTCATCTTCTAAACTCCTAACCCTACTAATGTTGTTACCCTAAGCCACAACTGTTCAGTTACCATGGTAACCATCATTGACAATATAGGTCAGCAACAATACATGTCTCTGACTTGTTTGACAGGTAATGTGAGCGAATGATTTAAAAGTGAATTAATTAATGTATTTATTTATCATCTTGTTTTATTTGTAAGGCAGCCATACTGGATCCTGAGCTCAGACATGGTCAGAAATCGCGGCGTTTTCGAGGCATTCTGGTTAATTACTCAGGCAAACCACAAAACAATAGATTTCTCTATGAATTATTACACACTGGAGCGTAAAGAAGACACGGATACAGCAGATGGATTAATAAAACCCCCAACAGTGGAGACCGTGAGGAGAAGTACCTGTCAGGACCAGATCAGCATGAAGCAGCTGGAGCTCCTGTTTCAGACGGATGATCTCCTCCCTCTGGGTGCTGCTTTGTGTCACCTGCTGCTGCAGCTCCTCTACAAACACAACATGACTCAGCAAAGAGATGAAAGAATTGGTAGCTTCATTGTGCACAAATATGATGACGACGGTGTCATTTTTAAGAACCTAAAAACATATTTTCTAAAGTCTCAAATGATATTTTTCTGCTGATTGTAAACATGCACTGAACATAAATAAGTAGAAGGGACCACAGTTGAGAAACTGTGGTTAAAATTTATTTTTCGATCCATCTAATAAAGGAGGTGTTCAAGAGATACCTCTGAGCTGATTGACCTCGTGTTTGGTTTCTTTGTATCTACGCTTATTTTCCTCAGAGTCTCTGAAGAGCTTGTTTTCCTGTGAGCGGCTCTGTGTCAGCGCAGCATCCAGGTCTCGGAGTCTCCCCGTCAGCTCCAGAGTACGACCAGAGGCTTCAGTCACATCTTTGTCCTGGTTGTGATTTAAACAAAACTGGACGATTGAAGGACAAGAACGGACAGAGCTACTAAAATAGTTGGATTGGTTTACCTTCAGCTTGAGCACGGCGCTCAGTTCTTCCTCCCTGACCCGCAGAGAGCCAACTTGAGTAGACAGAGCCATGCCGGTGGAGCTGAGACTCTGGTTCTTCTCCTAGAACACATCATGAGTGTGTATAGTAAATCACACACACACACACACACACACACACACACACACACACACACACACACACACACATAATATATATATATATATATTATATATGTATATATATATATATATATATATATATATATATATATATATATATATATATATATGTGTGTGTGTGTGTGTGTGTGTGTGTGTGTGTATATATGTCTGTGTATTTAATCTTATTAAAGAGCAAGTCACCCCAAAACAACTTATTTTCCTGATATATATAGATGCGTGTCTAATCGTGCTGCAGACACGTGCATTGAGTTGAGCACTTTAGTGCATTTTAGTTCAAATTTAAATATTCTGCCTAAAACTGTCAGTGTTGTGCCGTTGTCAGGTAAAAACTCTGCACTGCAGTTGAATTTAAATCTGCCATCGCTATTGGCTAAGAGGTACCCTAGAACGGTAGCTGGTACCATATGATGTCACAATGTCGGTGTGTGTGTGTATTTGTTGGTGGCTCCGCCCTCTCGGTCTGCTAGGCAACAGCATTTGTTGCATTTTTCAAACAGGAAGTGGGAGTTGAGTAAGAATCTGGTAGGGGGTGACTTGCTCTTTAAACATCACATTCCAGCAGAGAAGCTAGCTTGATTGTGAGAGAAGTGCAGTTCGGCAAAAACACTTAACAGAAGTGATTAGAGGGATCAGATATTTGTCTAGGAACTTCTCAGCTCCACACACACGATTATGAACTACGATGGTACCTCATAGTCTCGGCATTTTCCGATGATGTGTTCTTGTTTCTCTTCAAGCTCACAGAGCTTCTGTTTGGCTTTGCTGAGCTCCATCTGCACCTCCCTTTCTCTGCTTTCCACAACACAAACGTGTTTTGTCACAGCCCTCATCACCTCGTTACGCTTGCGCAGTTCCTCTGTGTGCACAATAAACAACACAGTGTAAACATCGTTATTTTAAAAAGGGTAGTCAGTGAAGAAGGATGAATGAACATGTTTTCTAAGATTTTATAAGCTAGAAGCACCAGACAAATGAGTGTGTGTACCCACCGTCCAAACGAGCACACCTCTGCTCCAACACCAACGCTCTCTGACGATCTTGTTCCCAGGCCTGATGCTGCTGGTGGTGCGAGGCAGCCATGGCATTCAGCTCCATCTCTCTGTCCTTCAGCTCCACCATCAGCAGCTGGAGCTCCCTCCTCTGCCTCTGAACGGTGGAGCTACTCAGGTCTTTCACTGGAAGCTTTAAAGAAACACACAGAAGTTGAACTGAAGCAAGTGGTCCATATTACAGTTTAACCAACATTAATAAAAACAAAATCAAATTCAGATGAAAATGAGAAGGTACCAACAAAAAGAAAAAAGAAGCATTATAGCAAAATGAAAAAATAATATACAAGATAGAGAGAGATGGTTTAGTTTCAACACCACAATAGCTCAGCTGGGTGATTTCACAGATGACACAATCCGGATCCTGTCCAACATGGGATTGCTTCACTTAATCCCTGATTCTCTGATAACAGAGTGAGGAGTTCCACCAGCATTCCCCTTCTGGAGTGGCCTCAGAAAGAAATCTGCCCTGAATTAATCGACTGGCTGTGGGAAAACTGTGGAAGCATAGCTTAGCATGGCTAAACTGGAACGTCGTGGACAGACGTGATGCCATTAGAGCTTTCGTAGTTGGTCACACCAAGGTGATCCCCATACTGACACCTCACTCTGTCAGCACAAAACCAGGGATTATGTTAATTAGCCTGATGATGTGTATCATGTTTGCTGATGATGAGGAAGAGGAGAAAAGGTGAGCAGATGTTACGAGGACTTTAAAAAACTGTTTCGATCTGTGCTCCCATCTTTAAAAGGAGCTACGGGACATCCTGTGGGCATGCTAGGGAGAATCACAGCTGGATCTGAACAATAAAAACAACTTCAAGCTGCAGAAACAACCTGTAACAGACCGGAGACGGCAACAGAAACACGAGTGATCCAAAACATTTAGTTATAAGCTTTAGATCACTACAAAATAATAGTTTTATGTTATTTGTTTAAAGAAGTATTCCTTTGACTAAACAACCCGATACATTCGGATGAAATGCAGCTTCATATATTTATTTTGGACCTCACCTCTGTACTCTGTGAGCTACGACAGACGGAATCTGCCTGGATGGAGGAAGCTTTGACCCACTGTCTTCCTGTACCATCCATCATGAAGCTGTTTAGGCCAGAGGATGGAGCAGAATCAAACAGAATACAACCTTCTGGTTAGAAACACTTTACAACAGCAGGACAATTGTTTCATTTTTGTTTGTTTGTTTTAAACATATTTGTTTTGCAACAGAATTGACCTTTTCCACAGACGTGCTGTGCCTAATTAGGCTCAGCAGAAACATCTGAAACTCAGTCAAAAGTGACGCTGAATGACGGATGTTGATATAAACATGATCCAGGTACCATCTAACCAGAGAGAACGATGGGCTCTCCCGTTTGAAGTAAACAGTCTCCTTCCTTCATCCATCACATCATAGGATTTATTATATTACATCCTGTTTAACTCCCGTTAGCGTTATTGTTGCCGTTTTGAACTAGCCCAGTTAGCTAGCTATTAAGTAAACAAACGTTAACAAACCAGTAGCACTGCTGTAAAGCCGAGCAGCAATAGCGCGTTAAACTTTGTTTTCAATACGAAACATAAAAAATTGGCAGAGAAACTTCACTTTTCTTCTATTTTTAGCTCACTTGACCGTTAAAGCAACTTTTGAGTGGAAGCGGATAATTAACAATTCTTTTCAAAATAATGTAATTCGGTTTTCAAAATAAAAGAACGTGCAGTTTTGTGATGAACGAACTAAACTCCAATCATGTCATTTGTAAAAAAGTTTATTTTCCATATAAACAAAAGCTAATTAGAATTAAAATTGATATGAAGCCTCTGTGGTTTTGTTTATCCTCCCGAACGCTGGGTGGCGCTACAGCACAACACCCTAAATAAAAACGCTGCGACTAGGCGTGCTCCAAGTATGCCAACTACACCTTGTTCAATGAGAATGCTATTCTAAAACTCAAACTAACGGTAATAATGCGACCAACTCTCATCCTTAAACGACAACAATTTTAAAGTTTACCCAGCGAGGTAGGTAATGCGACATAAATGATGAGTTTATTCGTTTTTAGCTGCACAGCCTGGCAGCGGTGCGTTAGCTCATCAGCTAGCTTGCTAAACTGTACCGAGTGGCTAACAGTGACAGCTGGTGAGTTAACGATACATGATGAATGGAGACACTGAAACCACATTTTAGGCTTTCTTGTTGTTTTGGAGTTTTAACAGTGATGTAATCATCCACAGTTCTTATACTTTGATCGTATATTTTACATATTAATATAGGAGCAAACTGCTTAAATGTCGCAGCCACCATAAAACAACCGCATGTGTTAGCAAGCCAAGGCTATTTATCTTCACTTAAGCGCTGGTCTGCTGCAGCTGGGTAGTAAATTTAACCTCAGTAATGCCAACTTCTGATCTGCTTTAGTGCAGGAAAACGTTTCTTTGCCAAATCTCGCTGCTAGTGTGGGAGGTGGTGGTGGAGGAGGAGTTTTTCTTATGTCACTCCTGTAGTGACTGGTCATTTTCTCCTGCTTTTACGTTGTCATGTAACCTGAACCTTTTAAATACAGGTCCGTTACTCTGGCCCCCCAAGGCCACCACCTGGCACTTTTAGACCCGTCTTCAGCCGACCTGTAAAATAAATAAATCATGAAAATGGTTCTGGAGAGTCTGATGACAATCTGAACAATGATTCAGTCATTTCAATGGTGGAAACATCTCAGCCAGTGGTGCCCAGTACTGGTCCTGGAGGGTCCGCATCCTGCAGAATAGTTTCTCTCCTTTAACACAACTTACTTAATGAGTGGGTGACAAACAGGCTTCTGCAGAGCTTCGTGATCTCCAGAACAGGTAAATCAACAATAAATTCAGGTGTGTTGGAGCAGAGAAACGCATAAAACATTCTGGAAGGGACCCTTCAGGACCAAGGTTGGGTTCCCTGCTCCTGGTGCTCTATCAGCTTAGGTTCAAGACTAAGAATAACCTTTTAATAAACTTTTAAGACTTAGCATAGCATATATATCAACAAACACTCAGTTTTTAAAACACTTTCTTCCTGTGCACCTTTTTCACGCTGTCTCCTACTAATACATCAAAACGGCTGAAGAATGACATGACAGTTGAATTGCAGTTATGGGACATTCATTAAAGAGCAAGTCACCCCTCTACCAGAGTCCTACTTCCCTCCAACGTCGTGTTTGAAAAATGCAACAAATGGCAGACCGAGAGGGCGGAGCCGCTAACAAATACACTCGCAACAGCATTGTGACACCAAAATGTACCTATTAACGTCACAGTGTACCTCTTAGCCAATGGCGGTGGCAGTTTTAAATTCAATTGTAGTGGTGAGTTTTTTACCTGACGACGGCGCAACACTGACAGTTTGAGGCAGAATATTTAAATTGCCAAATTATTGACAACACGTGTCTACAGCATGATTAGACACTCATTTATGTAGATTATCAGCAAAAAAAGATGATTTGGGGGTTAAAAAATTAATATTAAGTAGTTTCTTAAGTGAGGATTTATTGTTTAGCATTATTTCTAATGAGGATCAACATTGCTCTCCAGTCAAAACTGAGCATTTGAAAAAAATACATTTTAAAGAGCAAGTCACCCCCTACCTGAGTCCTACTCCACTCCCACTTCCTGTTTGAAAAATGCAACAAATGCTGTTGCCTAGCAGACCGAGAGGGCGGAGCCGCTAACACACACACACACACACACACACACACACACACACACACACACACACACACACACACACACACACACACACACACACACACAGGCTCACAACAACATTGTGACATCATATGGTACGAGCTAACGTTCTAGGGTACCTCTTACCCCGGCTTTCCACAGGAGCCGTCAGCAGCACGTTACTGCAGCAGCACGTCACAGCTGCTGATAGGAACCGCTGTGGTCAACAGAACCTTTTCCACTGGAGCCGTCAGCAGCGCGAGTCGGCCGCGTCTCAGGAGCAGCATGTCGCGGCCCTTACGCGCCAGTTCTATTTTCTATGCGCGACGCCTCTGAAACGGGTCAAGTTCGACATTTTTGGGGAAGGAAAGACAGGAAATCGGACGCGGAAATGAAGAGAAGCTCCCAAGATTTTCAGAATAAACAACGTACTGCCTTCCGGTTGCTTTACTTTAAAAAAGGTTACTAACTGTGTGGCCCCGTGAGAAGTTATCACCTAGCTAGCGGTCTCCTTTGTTTTTCAGGTCCGTATTGGCGATTATAAAACGGACAGAACATAAAACACAAACCATGTTGTAGTTTTCTCCTGCTTGTTGTTGTGTTTACTGACGAAGTCACTCGTGTGACTTCGTGCTCGGTCGGTGACAGCTGCTCCCCTGCTGCTTCGCGTCTCGTGGGAAGGGCCAAGCAGCAGCTTACGCGAGCAAGACGTGCTGCTGCAGTAACGTGCTTCTGACGGCTCCCGTGGAAACCCGGGGTTAGCCAATAGCGATGGCAGATTTAAATTCAAATGCAGTGCAGAGTTTTTACCTGACAACGGCACAACACTGACAGTTTTAGGCAGAAAATTTAAATTTGAACTAAAATGCACTAAAGTGCAAAACTGTTGACTACACGTGTCTGCAGCACGATTAGACACACATTTATGTAGTTTATCAGGAAAATTAGATGATTTGGGGGTGACTTGCTCTTTTTAAATGAATTTAAACATTTTTTGTTACTGAATAATTTTTTCAAACTTATGCAATTTATAAAAGCTTCAGGAATCTTTTGCTTTGGTTGCGGATAATCTTGTGTTTTGTATAATTAGAACAAATACTTGCCTTGTATTTATTTATTTATTTATTGTCATTGTGCATCTGCTTTATGATCAGATAAGTTGTGATGGCTACTACTGAGATGGAATCTGGGTGTTCAGAAAGCAAGTCGGAGCAAGGTTCAGCTGACCCCGATTCAAAGTATCCACTAAAGGTTCTTTACTGTGGAGGTACGGTTTGTAACCCGTTGGGTTTTTCGTGTATTTAGACGTTTTTTTACATCGTTGACCCGAGTTGTTGTGTTTCTGCAGTGTGCTCTCTGCCGTCAGAGGTGAGTTTACCACACAAACACGCAGCGCTGTTCAGTGGCCCAGTTAACTCTGAATGAGCTCTTGGAGGTGGTTTTTAAGCAGTGTTGATGAGTGTTGTGTCTGCAGTACTGCGAGTACATGCCTGAGCCAGCCAAATGTAGGCAGTGGCTTGAGAAGAACTTTCCAGATGTGTTTGCCAGGCTGACTCTAGGTGAGTATTTATAAGGTTTTCGAAGGCTTTTGCTGCTTTCTTCATAGTAATAATAGAATTATTACTATTATTATTATTATTATTATTATTATTATTATTATTTATTGTGGCAGAAGCTGGTGTGGTCCACCACAGAGAAGCTGCTCTAGCAGGATGACTTTAATTATTCCTTTTGACACACACACACACACACACACACACACACACACACACACACACACACACACACACACACACACACACACACACACACACACACACACACACACGAGTGTTGGTGAGCGGCTGCGTCTGACTGCTGACGCTCCGTGTGTGTTGTTATTTCTGCAGTGAGACAAACTCACCTCACACGTCCAGAGTTTGTTCTTTAAAGCTTCTATTAAATCCACTGGACTTAAATTCAGCTCTTCAAAAGCCTGCAGGTGATGGTGAGGAGGGTTCGTCCATCATATATAGTAAAACATGGCACCTGGTGCAGGTAAAGGATCTCCAGCCTCTGTTCAGAATGGAGGCTCAAGATTTTCATTAATTTGTGAGTGCTCTTGACCCAACACATGGACGTCCAGGCAGAAAGAAACTGAAACTCATCCGTGTAAAGCTACGATCTAAACAAATTACGTTTTCAAACGTAAACGTCTTTGAGCAAAGTGTTCGTACCAGATGGGTAAAGCTGATAGTGGCTCTAGTTTTACTTGGCATCAGATCCAAAAGGAAATCCGTGGTATCGCACAGCACTAACAAATGTTTAAAAGGCAGTTTGTTGCTGTAGTTTATCTGGTTCCGGTCGCCTGCTGATTTACTTTTCTGTATAACTTTTTAAGGTTTTGTCCAAAGTTCAGGAACAGATGTTGTAGCAGGCTTTTAAGATAATCAAAACCATCCCCTCTTGCCCTGTTGGTCAGAAATCGCATCCGTCGGTGTAGGTGCGTTGGGCCAGAAGGGTTTTGTTGCTGAATCTACATAAAGATATTAACATGGTTTTCATTTCTCTTTCACCCTGCTGGTGTAGCAGTGAATGCACCAAAGCAGGAAGCCGGCACTGGAGAAGCCCCTCCAGTTGTCGAAGAGGAGGAGAAGAAGAAGCAAAAGCGAGGTTTGTCTTCAGATGTTAGGGGAGAACTTCCCCATCAGCCGCTTAAAGGGGACTTATTATCCAGATCTCTCTTTTTGTGTTGCCATGAATCTCTACTTCCTCTTTACACACTCCCAACATGAATAAAACCTTCTTATCTGCGTCAGGTTGTGATGTCAGAAGTCAGGATTCTACAAGTTGTTAGAACAAGTCCCTTATTGTGACATAATGAGGAAAAGGAGCCTAGAACTCCGTCCTCGCCTGTCGACATTTAGAGGGAGTGAACGTGTTGTTTAGCTCATAGAGCAAGGAACATTAACAACTCATTCGCTGCCAGCATTTCTCGCCGCTTTTACTGTTTTTTTTAAGAGTCACAGAACGTTGCGTGCTAGCATGATGTCGACGCCAAAACAGAGAGGAGACTCGCCTCTTACTTCATGAAGAATCCACGCGTTTGGAGTGTTATCCGTTCTTTCATAATCCGATGTTGAATTGTGATCGGCAGAAGCTTTTCCGGTTCGCGCCTCACTTTTTTTATAGCAGCGCCCAAAACGATCTCCTAACACATGGATGTTCTGCTTCCTGGTCACGTGACGTGTGACGTACACGGATGAAGTTCCGCTTTAGAGCTGAGATGTTTGTTCTCACGGTGCGGGGGCTCGTCCGACGCCCACACAGTAAAAACATGCAAATGACGACTTTAGTCGTCAATGGCAGTGAATGAGTTAAAAAGGTGTGCCGGTTTGCGATAAAACTAATAGTCTATGTTCGTTTTTGTTTTAATGCTAAACCTGCTGCAGCTCCGAGAAGCTTACGTTTTAATTTCCCGTTCAGGTGGAAGAGGCCAAATCAAACAGAAGAAGAAGACCGTGCCTCAAAAAGTTACAATAGCAAAAATCCCAAGAGCAAAGAAGAAATACGTCACACGGGTATGCGGCCTGGCCACGTTCGGTGAGTGTTCGGTTTTATTTGTGTTTAACCTGAGAGGAAGCGCCGCTCTGAATGGTGATTGTGTGTTACCTCTCCCAGACATCGACCTGAAAGAGGGTCAACGATTCTTTGCTCAGAAATTCTCTTGTGGTGCCTCGGTGACGGCAGAGGATGAAATCATCATTCAGGGAGATTTTACAGACGACATCATCGATGTGATTCAGGAGAAGTGGCCTGAGGTAAACGTCTTGTTTGTGTTTAAAACTCTGGGAAAGTTTCTGGATCAAGTTTGTTTTTGTTTAAATTTAATAATAACAACAACGTTTAACTTCCATGCTTCCACTAGAGGTTGAGCCAGTCTTGTGATGGAGACGTTTACTGATGCCAACGCTAACGCCCGTTACCGACGTAATTTTGTCTGTCCATAAATTCTGTTTTTAAAAAATGTAAAGACGTGCGTAGGTTGCTGGTGTCCATGTTACTTTAAGATGACGGGCTAGATCCAGTCTATAACAAGACTGGAAAGATGGTGAGGAAATGATTCAAATGTTGGGCGAGGCCAGCGTGTTGCGGCTGGGGTGAACGACCGAATCCAAAATGTCGCCAAACGCCTGTTGAAGAGGTTGTTTTTTTCTTGTGGGAGCAGGCTTCTCTCCGACCAAGTCTACCGCCACTCATGCTAACTGCCGTCGTACGGGTAGTCGTCGTTCTTCTGTCATTATTGAGGTGGACCGCTATGTATGTATGATACCTTTTTGAGGCCGTAAAGCGCAGCACCAGTCTGCAGCAGGGGTGTAGGCGTGCATGTTTTGGGGTTTTTCGGTACGGGATGGAGGCGTTCCCAGTTCCCACGCGAAAATGGAACTGTTGGACTTGAACCAGCGACACATGTGGCTGTGTCTAAATTTAGGGGCAGGATCCTTTGAGGAATCCAGCCTACCCGGTCCACGTAGGCTGATGGTCTTCCCCAGGTCCTTGGTTTACTAGGAAGACCAGAGGTGAACGGCTGTGTAATCCGACGTTCCAGTCTGCTGATTATTCCTCACCTAGCAACCATGACAGGGCAAAGCAGAAAGTAAACAAAACATGGCATGTCTGACATGTCCAAGTTCGTGTTTTCACGCAGGACTCGCCAGACTAGCTAGTTTACGAGGATTTTCGACAAATCTAGAACAAAACCAAGTTTGTCGTTTGCGTAGTTATGCTTTTCCTACGGCCATTTATTGATCTGCTTTCATGTGAAGCCAATTCTCTCCAGCTTCATCTGTAATTGTTACAAGAACAAAAGTCTCCCGTTCGGCCCACAGTGACTCCTAGGAAAGCCTTTGCCAAGGAATGAAGATGTATTTTGAGCATCTTTTGAATTTGGACAGTCTTGCTGCTTTGCTGTGACCGGGGCTTAATTTGAGCCGGATCTTGCCGGAACAAGATCCGCGAACTGTCTGCTAGGATCCGGCTTCTCACGCGACCAGCTAGTGCTATACGCAGGATTCGAAGTACAGGTGAGCTAAAGGGAGCTCCTGGAAGCCCTCAGCTTGCACACCCAGGGGGAGCCTGAAAACGATCCTGTTCTACTTATATTACATTATCTAATGGGCCATTCCCATCTGTACCGGGTCGGCCCGGGCCGGGTAGCGTAGGTTGTTTACATATCTGGGTGGCCTGGTATTTTTCCGGGCCAACCAAGGCTCATTCTCAGCCCTCTTCTCGAGGGGGTCTGCTTCAGGCCGACCAGGGCCAACACACCCACTGCTGACAGCAAATCCACACCTTCCATTAGAGCAAGTCTCTGATTGGTGGGTAGAATCAGCCCACATGGGCTTAAGACAAGGATGTGTGGAATCAACCGGGCCAGGCTGGGGCCGACTGGGGCTACCCGGCCCGGGCCGACCCGGTACAGATGGGAATGGCCCATATGTGGACTCTCCGGGGATTCTTCTGAGCTGAGAGGCGCAGAGCTCTTATCGTTGACTCGCTCCAGACATCTGCGTCCTGAGCACGGCCACAGTAGCGCGGCCGTTTATGTCTGCTCATTTCCTTTCATGCTTTCTGTCTTTTATTTGTATTTCAGTATTTGTGTGTTGGGAACGTTTGATTTACAAATTAAGCACTGGCTGTGATGTAATCAACCTTAAACGCAGCCTTGGGAGGGTGCAGCACCTGAAATTAGAGACACCCCTCGGCTTAAAATAAAGACCGTGGGTCAGACAGGAGGGCTGCAAAACACTAAAGCTTGGCGATCACCTGGTCATGTTGTCTGAAATTGCAATTTCCATCAGACAACGATAGTTGAGCCTTAAAAGGTGACGCTTCCTTAAGCGTAGCGGATCCAGGATGTTCCAGTAAGCTGCTGGTTTGTTCTTGGGGAATCTGAAAAGGCAGAAGTGTGGAGAAGCTTTTAAAACACACGATGCTCCCAGGCTGAGTTTGGTCTCTGTTCCTCTGCAGGTGGATGACGACAGCATTGATGATCTGGGTGAAGTCAAAAAGTGAAGACCAAATAAGCACTTTCACTGAAATGGATGCGACCTGTAACAGCAACGACCTGGCCAAATGTACACATTTCGTCATTTTATACCGATTTTGTTTACTGTACATAAAAAGCTGCAGACTTGGCCTCTCACCTGGCTGTTTTTAGTTACTAGCTGCTTTTTCTCATTTGCCAAAGGCGTGGTATGACCTGAGTCCTTCACAAACACTCTCCACTCACGCAAACCGTAGGCTAATAAATTTCAGTCTCATTCACCCAAATTCTACGTTTGTTTTCTCTTTGCTTCGTCTGTTTTCTCAGGGCTTTAAAGTGTTTTTCACCTTCAGGATTTGTCTTCCAAGTCTTTTAAATGGCCACAGGTTACTTGTTTTTCCGTGCTGCCCACTCCTTACCCATGAGTAAACCTATTCCCTGTTATAATAGTTTTATAATGAAGCCACTATCCCCAGACAGATAACCTCTGCAGTTGTTATCGTGCTCCTTTGGGTCAATACCGCTTTCCTATTGATAACAGCGTCCCCGACGTATGTTTGTCCGCGAGCCCTTTGCATGAGAGCAAACATTCAGGTTCCAACTAAAGCACCTGGTGCGGCAAGTTTTTATTGCCCCTTTAAATAGCGGCGGCTTGGCGTTTTACTGCTTTAGACGATGAATCTCACACACTCGGAGGTTTGCTGTGCCTTTGAGTCTCCCATCCTGGACCAGGTTCTGCCTCCGGTGCTGATCCTGGAGTTCGTGTTTGGGCTGATGGGGAACTTCGTAGCCCTGTGGATGTTCATCTTTCACATGGAGGAGTGGAAGCCCAACGCGGTGTACCTGACTCACTTGGCCGTAGCCGACTCCATCGTCCTGTTCTGCTTGCCGTTCAGGGCGGATTACTACAGGCGTGGGAAGAACTGGATCTACGGAGACGCCACCTGCCGCGTTCTCCTCTTTCTGCTGGCAGCAAACCGAGCAGCGGGGATCTTTTTCCTCACAGCCGTGGCCGTCGACCGCTACTTCAAGATCGTCTACCCACTGAATCGGCTGAACCGCTTGGGCCTGGGCTACGCTCTGTTGGTGTCCCTCTGCCTCTGGGGCCTGATTTTTCTTGCAACTGGATACCTTCTTGCTAATAAGCACTTCTACAACAACAGCAACCACACGCAATGTGAGAGCTTCAACATCTGCATGGGGTACACTCCTCTGTCCACCTGGCACAACGCTTTCTATGTCATTCAGTCTTTCCTGCCCTCTGCCATTGTTGCCTTTTGCACCATCAGGATTACCTGGCAGCTGAGAAACAGGACTTTGGACAAAAAGGGTAAAATCAAACGTGCCGTTCAGTTTGTGCTGGCGGTGGCTCTGATCTTTATCGTCTGCTTTCTTCCCAGCACCGTATCGCGCATCGCCGTGTGGATCTTAAAGCTGTGGTATGACGAGTGCAAACATTTTGAGAAGGCCAATCTGGCGTTCTACACTTCAGTGTGTTTCACCTACTTCAACAGCGTCCTCAACCCTCTGGTGTATTATTTCTCAAGCCCAGCTTTCAGCGGTACCTTCAAAAAGGTGATGAGCAAACTGCTGGGAAGAAGTGATGAGGAGCCACCGGTGTCATCAGACAATGACATTTCCACCATCGATGGTAGAAGGGTGTAAAAAAGCTGGTGCTGATTTTAACTTTACGTGATACAACAAGTGGAACTTGTTTGAAATGAGCTTGGATGCTGTGCGAAAACCCAAAATAAGCCTCTGTTGCTGATCCCATTAGAAAAACGTAAAGCTGTACATGAACCTTGGTTGTTAAAACATTTACTCAAAACCACAGGAACAACAGTTGTAGAAGCGTCTGCTAAATACATAAACATAAACAAGTGCTTTGGGTCTAATATAGCACAATCCACTTATTATAACTTCGTATGTGGTAGTTTAGAATAATATTAGGCTCTGAGGTGGATTTAGTTTCACGCTGAGAAATCATGTTTTTAATTGTTCTATAATTCTATTAAAATTTTTACTTCCTGCTTTTTGAGTAAAGATGTATTAGCACTAATCTCAAAGCTCTACAGAGTAATTTTAATCCTTTTGCTAAGCTCGTTGGACTGTTCCATGAGAAAACTGAGACCTGGTTGATAATTGTTTCCCTGTTTTTCACATGAAGGTTCCCCAGTGAAAGAGTTGTTTTACAAACCAGAAACACGTTTTTATTGAGAAAATTCGGTGTCGTTTGATTTTTTTTCCACCGTTACAAATAAAATGACTGAAACATCTAACGGTGTTATTCTTTCGCTGATCTCTAACAGGTGTTTGGTTTTAATCTATGAAATTATATAATGGCTTGCCATAAAATCCCAGTTATTAAAAATCAGCGCCATTTTAATCTATTATAGTGCTTTATAAAAACGACGCATTCGCGAACCTGTTATGTTTATGTCTGTGTTAAGTTTTTCTGCCAGCTATAGTTTTAGCTCTAAATATACAATTATCCTGAGTAATATGCAACTCAGCATCGTTACAAAAGTTTTGTTTAAATGATAGTGAGACATTCGCTTGTTTCCACAGTCGTTCATTTTCACGGAGTCTCGAGGACTTCTCAACATTAATACTCAGATATACGAGCTCCGGCTTGTGTCCCTGAAGGTAGCACCACCGGCTCCCATGATGACGTCAGGCTGTGGCGGTCGGGGCTGGGCTGGGAAGAGAGCCGCTGGAAAAACGGTCCCGCACACTCCCACGACTGCTCCTGTGAGACCCAGTTCACGCAAACAGACCAAGTAAGCCTTTCCAGGGACTTCTTGCCTCTGCTGTCTGCTTTTGCTCGGCTTCCGCCTCGTTTCAGTGGACGTTAGTTTTCAGACGTTAGTGATTTTGGCTAGTCTGAAGCTAGCTAGCGTTTGCCTCTATTTCAGGCTTTCGCTAAATGAAACTAAAGATAACATGCGGTGTCGCGATTGTCTGCGAAGTGAGACTTTAAAACAAGTCAAAGTTATCAATTTAATATTGAGGAATTAATGAAAAGTGATGGTTTACATCGAAGTAATTTTGCTGATGACAGAGCCATCCCAGTGTCATCGTGTGTCTGTGTACTGCTGGTTTATGCGTTCATTATTGAGGGATGTGGAAAAATATAAGCATCCCAGTGGAAGGATGGGAGAGCTGGGAGCGCTGGGGTGAGGTCTGACAGCTGCAGGTGTGCTTGTTGTTTTGGTCTGACTGCACCGGCGGGGCGGGGGGAGAACCGCTTTGATATTAAAGCTCAGGAGTCTTTCTATGGGATGGTATTTCTTTTTACTCTCAATGCTGTTTAGTATTGATTAAACAACTAAAACTTGGTTAACTGAGACAGAACTCAGCATCTACACCTTAGTGTTGGGACTGTCCAAAGGTTGGTTCGGGGGCCCATTTGTGGCAAGGATTCTCATGTCAGTTCTCTTGTTGGCTCTTCCTTCTTCCATCTCAGGAACGTTGCTAAGCTGAGTCCCATTCTGTCCCGCTCTGAACTTGAGACAGTTCTCCACACCTTCATCTCCTCACGCTTAGACTACTGTAACTCTCTTTTCACGTGTCTGAGCAGAACCTCCCTGAACCGTCTATAGGTGGTTCAGAACGCCTGTGCTCGGCTTCTGACCAAGTCCTCCAAACACACCCACATCACCCCGCTTCTCCTCTAGCTTCACTGGCTGCCAGTCAACTTCAGGGTTCATTTCAAGATCCTGGTTCTGGTCTATAGGGACTTACATGGACAAGCACCATCTTACATTGGTGATCTTCTTAGTCCCTACACCCCCAGCAGGCCCCTGAGGTCCAGTGATCAAAGCCTACTGGTTGTGCAGCACCAGGCTAAAGGTCAAAGGTGACAGATCATCTGCTGCTGTGGCCCCCAGACTCTGGACCTCTCTCCCCCTGAGCCTGAGATCAGTGGACTCAGTGGTCTCCTTTAAAAAGCAGCTGAAGACTCACTTGTTCAAGCTGGCTTTTGTATGACCTTCTTCACCTCTCTCTCTTTATTCTGCTCTCCCCACCTATTCCACCTTCCTCAGGATCCACTGGTTTCCCTCTTTCCTGTTCACTCTCTCTCTTTCTTAACATTTTTTCTTTTAAATCGCAATTGCTTATTCTTGCTCATTTAAAATATATTTTTAAACATTTTCGAAATGCTTTTTTATATTTTTACAATTTTTATATTTTTTGTTTTTGTTTTTGTGAAGCGCCTCGTGATTTTTATCTTGAGAGGCGCTGTAGAAATGATATTTTCTTCTTCTTTCTTCTTCTTCAAGGGTGACGTGTGCTTTTTTAGGCTGATTGAAGACCAGACACGCCGCTACAATCTGGACCATTTGAAGAGGTCTCACAGTGCAGGCTGGAAGAGCAGTTAGAAGGGCATTGCAGTAGTCGAGGCTGGAAATGACAGTAGATTGCACCAGGAGCTGGGTGGCATGTTGTGTTAGGTTACGGTCTGATCTTTTGTATGTTATATTGCATGAAGCAGCATGAACAAGAAGGTGAACAACCAAAGGGGGGCCAGCAATTTCCCAGACCCCGCCCCCCAGCCACCCCTTGAGGGTGTCACTGTCCAGTAGGCTGTTAATGTAGATACTTTCTTTCATTTTATATTCAGATTTTTCATAATTAGCTTACTTTGGACTTGTATTAAAGAGACATTATGGAAGTGTGACAGCCAAAACATGTATAGAAATAATAAATATCTTCTTCATACGTTCTCCTGCAATGCCCTGGTCCTGTAGAATGAGCCCTGGCATTTTTACTGTGATTGCCTGTTTTTCTGTAAAATCACAGAAAAAGAGAGATGCTCGGGTCGAGCAGGCTGCTTCATGCGCGTTCACGCTCAGGCATAGCCCGTAGCATTTGCTATCCGTAGCTTTAGCAGCAGAGAGAGAGGCAGTGCCACTTTGTCGCTGTTCCTAACGCCTAGTGACAAAGCTAGCTACATTTCTGAGGACCCTTAGCTACTTTCTGTAGAACTTTCTTCTAGATATTTCCTGCTAATTAGCAACAAAATAGCCATTTTCACTCCGAACCGTTCTTTGGTTTGACGTTGTTTCAGCTGTCATCAAGGATATAAATGTTACAGATACTGTGAATGTTACTAGAGTGTAGCTCACCTAGTAAGATGTCTGACTCTCATGCAGAAGACCTGGGTTTGATTCTGGATGTGAACATAGTTTATTTAGAGTTTCTTTTTTACATTAATGGTATATTTTTTACAGTAAGATGCCCAAATTTTTATTTGAGACTCGCCGAACGGCATTGAATTCACAGATAAAAAAGATGTGGGTTCAACTTTCATTTTGGAACAATTTTTCAAGCAAGGGAAGGGAATGATCTGAGCATGCAGGAGGACTGGCCCATCATAAACCTTTGTCGCTGTGCTGTAGAGAAAGGTACAGAACCACATTATTTAATTAATTAGCTGCGTGTTCTCCTGTCCTCTGTCTTCCGGGACACACACACACACACACGCACGCACGCATGCACTGGACTGTCTCAGCTGTTATTTTCGTTAAGGAGTGTGCACGTACAGTATGCGTGCCTCGTGCACGAGCCTGCTATTGAAGCTGCCGTTACGCTTTTGGCCTGATGGGGCGATCTCGAGCATAAAAATTCAAAACTCCGTAAAGTCCCTTTAAAGAATGGAAATAAAAAAACACCGAACAATATTTACATTTAAAAAAATAAAAACTAAGATAAACATGGCCTTAAAAAGTTTGGGTACCCCTGACTTAATACATCAAAATATTTACTGACTATTTGATAACTTAAAGAATTTTTGTTTCTACAATTGTCAATTTTTGTAATTTCAGAGTGCGTACACAAGGAGCCAGAAAGTGAGATATGTTTCTCTTGAGAGACGATTTAAAGGTGATTTCTTGTGTCCTACAGTTTTAATACCTGAGAGACACCATATTACTAACCAAATGGTATGATTATGTATAAAAATACTTTCCATGCTAATGAGGACCCTTCTTACAGCATACATGTTGGATGTAAGGAAATTACCTGTGAGAAAGGACCTTAAAGAGTAAATGCAGAAGGTGCCTTAAGGTTCAAATTACTCATTAGCGTCAGAAATATGAGAAATGGACACTGGTTTATGGACTTTTAAAGGGAAAAATGATCTCAATTTAATTGAGCTGAATTTTGCCTTCTAGAGACAAATCTAAAGCATAATAGACCCCATAAACAATTATTAAAACCTGCGGTTGTTTTTACAAAACTCTGAACAATTTAGGTTACTGGAGCAGTTTTAGGATGACAACACAGTCGACTCTTGACAAATGCCCACCAAGAATGTTCAAACAGAAAAAGAGACCAACATCCAGCAAACCCAAAGCCTCTGTGTGAATTTAAGTGTTTATTTTTATTTTTATTTTTGCAATGAATCATCTGTGTGGTCAGGTTTGTGTTTACCACCCACAAGACTTTGATGAAGAAAACAAGACCATATTTAAACCAAACAGGGCACAAGTTCTGTACGAGTTCACATTTACGTTACTGCTGGCTCGCACGGGGCATACGGAGCACGTTGGGGTGAAGCTGTGACTAAAGGAGGCTCTTAGAGAAACAAATGTTGTTTTACAGCCTTTCTGTCTGCTGGTTATAAAAAGACCTGCCGTCAGGAATCAAATCAACTCTTTGTTTTTGACTTCCTTTTAGAAATGGTTTCATTTTTGTTTTTGCTCTCCAGCTCCCTCCCATTATTTTGGGATAGTGTGGGTCAGTGGGGAAGGCCTCGTCCCCCACCCCGATCAGGCTCCCCCACCCTGGGGCAAACAGGGAGCCATGAGTACACCAGGCAAAACCAGTGGGCTGAAACCCCCCAGTAAAATAGTGCGTCCATCTAGTGTTCCATCAAGGACGTCCCCGTCATCTGGTAAGTAGCTATCAGGGAAATGAATGTTTAAAGTAGTTCAATCTGAACTAATTTTGTAGGTGTCAAAAATAAAAGTAGTTGGGAGCTGCTAAACAAATATGTTGATTAACTGAACACCATCAGTGTGAACCCCTGTGAAAGCGTTTTGGCAGGTCTGGAGCATGGTGGTGTGTGTTAACACAATGCCAAGAAAAGAGTCCGGTAGCCGCTGTGGGGAGACGACTGAGTGACGACAGCAGTTAGTTTGATTGTGGTGTGTGTTACGACCCAAATGCTGAGTAGCTAGCACCAGGTGTGGCTGACACAAGATTGGTAAAAGAGCGTCAGGCGGAGCTCGAAAGGAAATGAGGCTGAGCTGACACTTCAGAGTAAGACACTGACTGACGTCTTGATGATCGTGATGCAGACAAAAACCCTGTTACCTCGTGGCTCGGATCTAGGTGATACGATGACTGAGTGCTGGCAGGAGTGGCAGACTTCCTTATATACTCTGGGCAGTGACGTGAAGACAGACATCCGGCGGGTGGAATGATGAGTAATGGAGTTCTAGAAGGGTAGATTGGTGTTACGGGGGGTGCTGAGTACCCCCCCCCCCCACCTTAGGGACGGCACCAGAACTCCCAGGGCGGCTCGCCCAGAAGTCTGAGATGAGGGAGGGATCCAGAATGGAGTGTGAAGGTTCCCAGGAGCGCTCCTCGGAGCTGTAGCCCAGCCAGCCCACCAGATAATGCCAACCTCTGCCTCGACGATGCGCGTCCAAGATGTGATGCATCGTATACACACGATCCTCATCAACGAAACGAGGAGGCGGCGCTGGGTCGGCAGGCAGGGAAAGAGACGAGGAGACATTAGGTTTGAGCTGGGACATGTGGAAAACAGGGTGGATCCGCAGACTGGAAGGGAGGCAGAAGGCCACAGGGTTGACAACCGGATCCACAACATAAGTGTGGCAGTGTGAGCGTCCTGTTACAGTGTCCCGATTGATCATGTGCCCTGGCTACTTGGCCAAGGGGATGTCCCTTTGGCTGACTGGTTAGCACGCATCACCTGGGAGTCTGAGGATCGAATCCCGCCCGGGCCCTCGTTTCTCCACCTTGCCACATTAGGGCAGAGGAACCGGGGTACGAGCTTCGTGAAGCCTGTCTGCAGGCGGAGGTTGATTGTGGAGAGCCACACATGTAGGCGGGTCCGGGTTGATGACGGCATTGATATTGTCCGATGTAAGAGGAGTTGGAGCGGACAATAGAGGCACAAGCTTGGATCCAGGCCATCCTGCACCGTTAGACCAGGTTTTGGGCTGCAGAGACCGCTGGCTCCTGATGGTGGAACATTGGAGGCTGGTAGCCATAACAGGTTTCGAAAGGTGACAGACCTGTGGCAGACGACACATGGAGGTTGTGCGAGATCTCAGCCCAGAGGAGGAAGGTGACCCATCGAGAGCGTTGGGTTGAGACAAAGCAACGTAGATAGTGTCTGAGCTGTTGATTGGAACGCTCCATCTGGTTGATGGTTTGAGGGTGGGAGCTAGAGGACAAACTGGAAGAAGCGGCCACCATACGACAGAGCCTTCCAGAAGCGGAACTGGGGTCCACTGTCCGAGACCATGCCCGTTGGCAGGCCTGGTAGAGCAAACAGATGGACAGCCTCGGAGAAGCGGTTGTTGATGGTTAGGATGGTGTCCAGGTGGTCCACGACTGGAAGACCAGTCACAAAGTCCAAGCCGATGTGCTTGGTAACCGGCAAGGGTTGCAGGGTCCCTTAGAGGGGTATGGTGTCAGACTTGTATCGGGCACAGACCTTGCAGGCACCCGTGAACTTCTTTGTGTCCTTGGCCATGGTGGGATCCAGGTCGGTAGGCTGTGCTGAAGTTTTAGGCTTAGAAAAACTTGTCTGGGGGTTCAGTTAATGGCAGTTTTAAGGTGGATGAGGTTGTGATGATGTGTCCAAACTATGAAAGGATCCGCTGCTCCTAGCAGCCACTGCCGCCATTCCTCCAGAGCCCCCTTCACCGCCAGCAGCTCCAGTCCCCCACTCTGTAGCGGCACAGAGTGAGCGTGAATGTTCTTGAAAAGAAGGCGCAGGGACGGAATTTGTTAGTTCCCCGCTGGGAAAGAATAGCCCCAGCACCCACGTTGGACGCCGTTGTGTTTTTTACTCAACTCTGTACGTTTGGAAGTACATCAAAACTGGCACGGAAATTTTTTTTGGGAAAGTACGAACCTGTGCTGTTGGAAAAGGTTATCCAGCTGTGCCGAACCAATCTGAGTCACACTGAGTAGGGCAGTTGGGAAACCCCTGTAAGATGCTGACTAAAGCTAGATACCCTGTAAGATGCTGACTAAAGCTAGATACCCTGTAAGATGCTGACTAAAGCTAGATACCCTGTAAGATGCTGACTAAAGCTAGATACCCTGTAAGATGCTGACTAAAGCTAGATACCCTGTAATATGCTGACTAAAGCTAGATACCCTGTAAGATGCTGACTAAAGCTAGATACCCTGTAAGATGCTGACTAAAGCTAGATACCCTGTAATATGCTGACTAAAGCTAGATACCCTGTAAGATGCTGACTAAAGCTAGATACCCTGTAATATGCTGACTAAAGCTAGATACCCTGTAAGATGCTGACTAAAGCTAGATACCCTGTAAGATGCTGACTAAATCTAGATACCCTGTAAGATGCTGACTAAAGCTAGATACCCTGTAAGATGCTGACTAAAGCTAGATACCCTGTAAGATGCTGACTAAAGCTAGATACCCTGTAAGATGCTGACTAAAGCTAGATACCCTGTGTTCAGCTGTGTACACAATCAGGATAACTTGATAGGCAAGCTGTGGATCTATCTGACATTCATTCAGAGCTCTATTCCCAGGACATCCTGGAACATTACATGTGCTCCGAAATTCTTCTTTGTTGTTTTCCTCTTGCCCATCAAAGATGTTAGCTGTAGCTTGGACTTACGTTCTGCTTTTAGCATTACCGCCACCAACTTTTATATATTGCCAATGTTGAGGTGGGTTGGGACATGCACATTTAAGGTGGAGTGTCTAAGCTGATGACATGTTTAACCAGCTTTTCTCGGAATTAACCGTTTTTCATGGCCATTACAACATTACAGGTCAGAGATGGCACAGCCTTTTTGGTATACTTGACTCCCCAAGCTGCCTACACTTAACAAGAAATGTGGTTTAAAATGGGTGGCGCACTAAAAAATGTTTTTAATTATTATTTCTGATTATAAAGTTCCATTAGTCATTGTCACACGTTGGTGAAATCACATCTCCGCGCTTGACCCATCCCTGCGGGGAGCGGTGAGCTACAGCAGTGGCTGCGCTTGGGAACTATTTGGTGTTTTAACCCCCCAATCCAACCCCTTAAAGCTGAATGTGAAGCAGGGAGGCATTGGGTCTTATTTTTAAAGTCTTTGGGATGACCCGACTGGGATTTGAACCCCGATTTCCGAGTCCATACCACTCGGCCGCTGAGAAGGTAATCAGTCGCTCTGACGTTTTCATGCAGGCTGAACATGAAATCTGAGTCTACCAGCTCACTACAAGGATATTTTGTTTAACCAGCTGTTGAAAATGAAGTGGAATAATTTAGAAATTGAAGCTTTAAGCAAACGTCAAACATGTCATATTTATTATGTTTTTATTTTAATAAAATGTCATTCTGATTGCAGCTGCAGCGAAGCCGGTTCCTCCTGAGAAACCCCTCGTCGGCGTGACCCCCCCGACCCAGGATGGAAACACAGATTATCAGATAGGTGACAGGATCTGGGTGAATGGCAACAAGCCTGGCTATGTGCAGTTTGTCGGGGGCACGCAGTTTGCTCCTGGGCAGTGGGCGGGCATCGTGCTGGACGAGCCCATCGGTAAGAATGATGGGTCGGTGGCTGGTGTCCGGTACTTCCAGTGTGAGGATGGACGGGGAATTTTCACTCGTCCCTCAAAGCTCTCCAAGACTGCGCTCCCGGAGAAGGAGACTAATGGAGGGCAGCCCAGTCCGCCACAAGGAGGCCCTGCAGCAAGCGAGCCTGCACCTGCTGCCCCTACCTCCACTGGTAAGGGGACATTTTCAGGGTAACAACTGTGTTGTTTTTTATTTTCAGGTGTAAATAATGTCATTTCAGACTAGTGTTATGCTTAAGTAGTGATGACTAAAGAGGACAAACAAGAAAACAAACAGAAACCTGAAAATAGTTTGTTTTCTAAGCTTGGGGCTCCAGGTGGCTTCCTCCCACAGTCCTAAAATATGGCTGTCAGGTTGATTGGTCTCTCTAAACTGTCCTTTGGTGTGAGTGTGTGTGTGTGCAACCTGTCCCGGGTGTACCCCGCCTGTTTGCAGCTGGAGATGGGCACCAGCCCCCATGACCCTGCGTGGATCAGCGGGTATAGGAAATGGATGGATGGATGGATGTTTCCTAAACTTGCTCTGGGGTATCAGAACATCCCAGACCTCACAAAAATGTCAATTTTGATCTGTTTTGTGAAGTTCACACCTTTACCTTTTGGCATTAAGATGCAGTGGAACAGTCTGAGTTTATTGCTGTTATTGGATTTCTGTCTCATTTTATTTATGTAGTTGAGAATCTTAGTAGAACCCATCAAGCTTAAGAACTCATTTTCTTTCCCGTTCTTCTTCTTCTTTTTCTTTTTCTTTTTCTTTTTCTTTTTCTTCTTCTTTTTCTTCTTCTTCTTCTTCTTCTTCTTTTTCTTCTTCTTCTTCTTTCTTCTTTCTTCTTTCTTCTTTCTTCTTCTCCTTCTCCTGATGTTCCACGTACGGCTTCTTTCAGCTCAAGTCTCCGGCATAAAGACTAGCAGTGCTCTGAACCGAATGGTGGCGTCTAGCGAGTCCGTGTCCAACCTGTCTGACCCAGACTCCATGAAGAAGATCAGGAGGGAGCTGAGGCTGGGAGACCGTGTTTTGGTAAGCGACACTGTGAATGGATCCTTGTGGAAAAGACGGAAGACATTTGTCTAGGTTTTGTACTGAAATGAATTTCTTATTTATTTGTTATTTTAAGGAAACTTTCAGAAGTTACACTCAAATAGCTCATCACATCTCTGTGAACAACTTCTGGTTAGGAGAACGTGTCTGTCTGCAGAATCTAATCATAAAGTGAATTTTTATGGCATTTCTTCTTGCTTAGGTTGGTGGCACCAAGGCAGGAGTGGTGCGCTTTCTGGGAGAAACAGACTTTGCCAAAGGAGCGTGGTGTGGTGTGGAGCTGGATGAACCTCTGGGCAAGAACGACGGTGCTGTAGCTGGGACCAGGTGAGCAGCACAGATGCAGGACAGCTGTGGATGTTTACATTCAGGCAGATGTTGTTTGTAGAGCTGCTGCTGAAGTGTTTGGGATGCAGGTTGTGAGGCTGTTTAGGAAAACTTTCAGAGTTGTACCACGCTCAGGACTGTTCCTTTGGACGTTTATGATAAACTAAAACACTGTACTGTGTACAATGGCACATGATAAACCTCCCTCAGGTATTCAGTGTCCTTTTGCAAGCGTTATGGCATCATGGCTTTATTTGTAGTTCGTTTTAGACTAGTCTTCATTTTATTTACAGGGATTTTTTTTCTTTTTAGTTATTTTGAAGCTTTTAATCTTACTTGGATTGTTCTGATGGGACGGGATGGTGCTCGACCTACACTGCTGATGTACAAAAGGTTCTGTGTTTTATTTGATAACCTCTGGACTGGGGACGAGGGTCCTTGTTCACGAGTGAAGGAAAGATGGAGCAGGAGATCGATAGGCAGATTGGACGCATCATGTCCAGCACGATGCCCGCCCACTGCCTGGGAGCAAGCAATGCAGGCGTTGTACCGGTCTGTCGTGGTGAAGAGAGCTGAGCTGGAAGGAGAAGCTCTCGATTTACTGGTCTGATCTGAAGAAAACCTAGGGAGTACAGAAGAAACGTGAGCAACAGTGAAGCAAGCACAGAGAGATCTGTTACTGTCTGTGTGTGTGTGCGTGTGTGTGTGTGTGCGTGCGTGCGTGTGTGTGTGTGTGTGTGTGTGCGTGTGTGTGTGTGTGTGTGTGTGTGTGTGCGTGCGTGCGTGTGTGTGTGTGTGTGCGCGTGTGTGTGTGTGTGTGTGCGTGCATGCGTGTGTGTCTGTGTGTGTGTGTGTGCGTGCGTGCGTGTGTGCGTGTGCGTGCGTGTGTGTGCGCGTGTGTGTGTGTGTGCGTGCATGCGTGTGTGTGTGCGCGCGCGCACGTGTGTGCGTGTGTGCGTGCGTGCGTGTGTGTGTGCTCTATAAAGCTCTTAATAATCAAGCTCCATCATACATCAGTAATCTGATTGTTCCATACGTTCCTAACCGAGCACTTCGCTCTCAGACTGCAGGTCTACTGGTGGTTCCAAGAATATCTAAACTTAGGATGGGAGGCAGATCTTTTAGTTATCAGGCTCCTCTCCTGTGGAACCAACTCCCAGCTTTAGTCCGTGAGGCAGACACCTTGTCTACTTTTAAGAATAGGCTTAAAACATTTTTATTTGATAGGGCCTATAGTTAAAATCTGATGTTAGCCTAGATCTGGACAAGTGGGGGAGTAGAGGGAGGTGGAGTGTACAGTCGGTAAAGACGGCTCCCCCTTGCCCTGCCTCCAACATGCCTCCATCTAAATAGGATAGATTATCCAGAGTTATCTCTGTAGTTATGCTGCTATAGGCTTAGACTGCTGGAGGACACACTGACCACTTTTCACACTCTACTGCTTTCTTCTACAATCTGCTCTTTAACTGTATTATTTTGTGCAATTTCAGCTGTTAACTTTATTTTCTCTCTAAGTGTTTTTCTCCCCAGAAGAAGCTACAACGATGTTCTGCTGAGCTGTGGTGGCCTCATGGAGGGGGCCATCGACTAGCACACTTAAACATTCTCCCTCCCCTGATAATAACTTTTTGCTTTCCTTGACGTTGGATGTGCTACTACTAGTTTATCCTTTTAATTATAGATCCACTAGGATAAATACAATAAAGTTTATCTTTCACCACATAAAATATTTACTAAGACATCACAATGTAACCATGTGTGTGTGTGTGTGTTTGTGTGTGTGTGTGTGTGTGTATGCTCTGTCTTCTCCATCCCCAGTGAGTCGTGGAGGATGGCTGCTTATACTGAGCCAGGATCCTCTAGAGGTTTCTTCCTGTTAAAAGGGAGTTTTTCTCTCCACTGTCGCTACATGCTTGCTTAACATGAGGATTGCTTTAAAGACTCACACTAGTCAGTGACTTGATGCAATCTGCTTTGGTTCCTTTCATGGGAAACTTTTTACTGATTGGCTTAATGAACTGACCTGTATTGGAATGTTTATTTTGTGAAGTGCCTTGAGACGACTCTTGTTGTCGTTGCCGTCTTCCTCCGCTTATCCGGGTCCGGGTCGCGGGGGCAGCATCCCAACTAGGGAGCTCCAGACCGTCCTCTCCCCGGCCTTCTCCACCAGCTCCTCCGGCAGGACCCCAAGGCGTTCCCGGACCAGATTGGAGATGTAACCTCTCCAACGTGTCCTGGGTCGACCCGTCAGGACAATGGAGTCCCCTGATGGAGCACTATCTAGCCCTTGTCCCAGGGACTCCAAAAAGGGTGGGTACTCTGAACTGATATTTGGCCCATAAGCACAAACAACAGTCAGGACCCGTTCCCCGACCCGACGGCGCAGGGAAGCTACCCTCTCGTCCCCCGGGGTAAACCCCAACACACAGGCAGAGAGTCTTGGGGCTAACAAAAAGCCAACCCCAGCCCTCCGCCTCTCACCCGGAGCAACTCCAGCAAAGGAGAGTGTCCACCCCCTCTCAAGGACTTGGGTTCCAGAGCCAATGCTATGTGTCGAGGTGAGTCCGACTATATCTAGCCGGTACTGCTCAACCTCTGCCACAAGCTCCTGCTCCTTCCCCGCCAGCGAGGTGACGTTCCATGTCCCAAAAACCAGTTTCCTTGTCCGGGGATCGGACTGCCAAGGCTCCCGCCTCGGTCTGCCACCCGATCCACACTGCACCGGACCCTTCATGTTCCTCCTGCGGGTGGTGGGTCCACAGTTGGATGGAGCCAGGCCTGGGGTTGGGGCCTGTGAGCGAGCGCCTGGTGGCCGGACCCCATATGTGAAAGCCCGGCCACCAGGCGCTCACTCACAGGCCCCAAACCCAGGCTGGCTCCAGGGTGGGACCCCGGTAACCCTCTCCGACTCTTTGTCTTTACGTCCATGAAAGATCTTCTGAATGACTCTGACTCTTGTTGTGCTTTATAAATAAACTGAATTGAGACTGAATTAAGTCAAGCTGTGCTGCGTGGCTACTAATGGAAAAGGCCCAGATGTTTTTCAGCCGGCCTGAAAAACATCTTTGGACTCCGCCGGAGGAGCTGGCCCCGGTGGCTGGAGAGAGGGGAATCTGGACCTCTTTGCTTAGGCTGCTGCCCTCACAACCCAACCCTGGATAAGCAGAGGAAAAAAATGGATGGACTTTTACTCCTTACCTTTTAACTGGACAAGCCTTTAGTATCAAATTCAGTCTATTAAAGAAGACGAAAATATCATTTCTATAGCGCCTCTCAAGATAAAAATCACGAGGCGCTTCACAAAAACAAAAAATGTAAAAATATAAAAAAGCATTTAGAAAATGTTAAAAAATATATTTAAAATGAGCAAAAATAGACAATTGTGATTAAAAAATGTAAAGAAAGAGAAAGAGTGAACAGGAAAGAGGGAAACCAGTGGATCCTGAGGAAGGTGGAATAGGTGGGGAGAGCAGAATAAAGAGAGAGAGGTGAAGAAGGTCATACAAAAGCCAGCTTGAACAAGTGAGTCTTCAGCTGCTTTTTAAAGGAGACCACTGAGTCCACTGATCTCAGGCTCAGGGGGAGAGAGGTCCAGAGTCTGGGGGCCACAGCAGCAGATGATCTGTCACCTTTGACCTTTAGCCTGGTGCTGCACAACCAGTAGGCTTTGATCACTGGACCTCAGGGACCTGCTGGGGGTGTAGGGACTAAGAAGATCACCAATGTAAGATGGTGCTTGTCCATGTAAGGCCCTATAGACCAGAACCAGGATCTTGAAATGAACCCTGAAGTTGACTGGCAGCCAGTGAAGCTGGAGGAGAAGCGGGGTGATGTGGGTGTGTTTGGAGGACTTGGTCAGAAGCCGAGCACAGGCGTTCTGAACCACCTATAGACGGTTCAGGGAGGTTCTGCTCAGACACGTGAAAAGAGAGTTACAGTAGTCTAAGCGTGAGGAGATGAAGGTGTGGAGAACTGTCTCAAGTTCAGAGCGGGACAGGATGGGACTCAGCTTAGCAACGTTAGGGATAGGGTTATTTTATTTCCTAAAGTAAGGTTAAAGCAGTTGAAACCTTAAAGCTGCAATAGCAAATCTACAAAACAAGCTAGCCCAAAATACTTTTTTCATGCCTCTTAACAATGTTCAAACATATTATAGCTATAAATCTATTGTGGAGATTTACTCATTCACTGCCAGCGTTTGTCACCATTTTTACTGTTTTTTTAAGAGTGACAGAACGTTGCGCGCTAGGATGATGTCGACGCCAAAACAACCAAAACAAAGCGGAGACTCACCTCTTACATCAGGAAGAATCCACACGTTTCGAGCGTTATCCGTTCTTTCATAATCCGTTGTTGAATTGTGATCGGAAGAATCTTTTCCGGTTCGTGCCTCACTTTTTTTTACAGCAGCGGCCCAAAACGATCTCCTAACACATGGATGTTCTGCTTCCTGATCACGTGACGTGTGACGTACGCGGATGAAGATCGGCTTTAGAGCTGAGATGTTTGTTCTCACGGTGCGGGGGCTCGTCCGACGCCCACACAGTAAAAACATGCAAATGACTACTTTAGTCGTCAATGGCTGTGAATGAGTGTAAGAAAAAAAAAAAACCAAAAAAGTGGTTCTTACGCATTTGTCTAAAATTTTCTGCCAATAACACGGCTCGGACCAAAACCAACCATTGGACCATCCGGTTGTCTGTTTCACCGAACCATTCCACTTCCGCACGTCGCTGGGTCTTCCGTTCATTACACGCCCACGTATTTAGCAACAGAGCATCACTGGTGTGTGAGGTTTTCCGCTCAATAACATCAGAGAACGAGAAACAGCCGCTACTACCACATCACCTTTAGGACAAACTACCAGAGTCCCAAAAAGAAAATCACCTTATGAAGTCACAGACAACAGAAGATGTTTAGACCGCAAAAACGGAGACTGGTGTTTAAGCGCTATCTCATTTCCTCTGGCAATGCTGGTTTTTGGTTCCAACGGATGTATCCCAGGACTGATAGTGGAGGAGAGGGTTAGTGTTTGTGTTTACGAGCTGCTTGTTTCATAGATTTGCTATTGCAGCTTTAAATCAGATGCATTTAATGAAGAATCGGTCCCTCATAAACAACGTTATAAAAGAGGCCTTATTAAGTTAACATTTAACACGGTCATAACGGCATTAATGGAATGAAAGGTTTTCCTTGTCTGATCCAACCTGTTCCCTTCCCAGATATTTCCAGTGCTTGTCCAGGTACGGCCTGTTTGCTCCCATCCACAAGGTCACACGGATCGGCTTCCCCTGCACCACCCCCACCAAGACAAAGAGCTCCCGGAGGAGGTCCGTTCTGAAGAAGAGCCCCAGTGCTTCCTCCATCAGCTCCCTCAGCTCTGCCACCTCCTCGATCAGCGGCAAACCCAGCCGCGCAGGACTGGTAGGACTCCTCCTGAGATCAAACACACAGCTGAGTGTTGGGGTCAGACAAGATCTGTCAGACTGTGTTGGTTTTATTCAAGTAACACAAAATACCTCTTCATCAACAACCAGTAGTTCTGAATCTACATATGAATCCCACAGAGACGTGAGATTAGTTTGCTTAACTTGTCTTTTATAAAGTATTTGAACTCACATGACCGTTATCGTGTTTCAGCAAGTCTCTGTGCCACGGGATGAATTTGTTTCCTCTTTCAGCTGACAGAGACGTCTGCTCGGTACGCCCGTAAGATTTCCAGCACAACAGCGCTGCAGGAGGCTCTGAAGGAGAAACAGCAGCACATCGAACAGCTGCTGGCAGAGAGGGACCTGGAGAGGTGCGAGGTCGCCAAGGCAACGAGCCACGCAGGAGAGATGCAGCAGGAGCTGGCCCTGCTGAGGAAAGGCCGAGATCAGGTTAGAGACGGACACACGTGTGTTTCAACAACTACATATCATAAAGCTGCCTGTCAAAGTAAAGTGTTATAGCTTTGAATTTGGTCTTTCTTTTGTCCTCTTTAAGAATCAGCTTAATTGGTGCCTCTGGAGTGTGTCTAGCTGTGAGTGAGTGTGTGACTGTGTGTCCCTGTCATGGACTGACCTGTCCAGGGTGCCCCCCTGCCTTTCCCCCGATGACTGAGGGAGTTAGACCCTAGCTCGCTAGGATCCTATGGAGAGTGAAGTGGTTCAGATAATGGATGATTAATTGATGAATGATTGAAATTGCACGGCGATACAAACGTTCTGATGGCCGGAGGTTTGCCCTCATGTGAGTTAAAGGAATAAACAACAGTTTACTTTTGCCTTTTTAAAAATATGGGCAGTTTTCCAGTATGCGTACTTGTCTGAACTTGTTTACTTGCGGAACGTCAAAAACACTGACCCAAGTACTCGGCCCAAGTACTGTTCCTATGTATGCGTCATGGAAAGTACTCTCCAGTTCCCAGATGTGTTCTTGCTCCTCCCACTGTATCACTGAGAACCCGGATAAGTACGGTTTACTTGAAATTTTTCGGTTAACCTGTTGCCTTAAATTGTTCAAGTAATGAAGCAAGCAGGAAAACATTTTCAATGTGCTTGAGTCCATAAGTTGAATGTACTAGTTAGAGTTACAGGAACTAAAGATACTTAGTTGAAACAAGTATTAAACACATTTATATAATTCAGCTTGTTTATTAAGCATCACTCTGTCTCCAGTCTGATATGCAGACTTACATATCGTTTTTAATATTTGTGGACCTATAGGAAAAACAACCAAGGACAATCAGTTTTGGTGGATTTCAGGAACAATAAAGAACTAGTGGGCGAGGTGCATTGTGGGTAGTCATGTTTTCAGTTATTTTGTTCTATTTGGGGGTGTTTATGCATGTTTATTGTGGGGGGGTTGTATTGTTCTTAGTTATTACTTTGTTCCATGTTGCAAATGGAGTGTTACTTGTTGTGTCATGTTGGCACCATAAGCGGTTGGTCAAGGGAATGACCACGCTGTGACATTGCTCTTTTATTGATGATTTGGTTGTTCCACTCTCACAGCTTGCCAGCGACCATGGATGTGTGAGGCATTCAGTGTCAGTGTTAGCTTTCACCTTCACTCTTCACCTGCCTGCCGTGTTGCTTTATTTAGTAAATCCAACGTATCTGGGTTAACCGTGGCAAATGTTCAAGTATTTTATACTTGATTTAAATTAGTACTACAAACTAAGAATGTGAAGTATATGTACTTAACTTAAAAATATATTCACTTTACTTAGAAATATTAATGTAAAGCAACTAAATAAAGTGGTTTTTTTTCAACTATGTTTGAGTTTCATCAACTTAAATTTTTTTATGTAATCAGTTTCACCAAAATTTTTGAGTTATATCAACTTGTCGGGTTTTACAGTGAACAACAAATAGCTCCACCTTTGCTACACTGAACAAAGCAATAACTAAGAACAACACTACCCCCCCCAAAAATAACCATGCACAAACACCCCAAAATAGAACAAAATAACTAAGATGATTACCAACAGTGCACCTCTCCCAGTGGGCGGGGTCATTTTTTAGTCTATAAATTGCAGTTGTAAGTTGACTAAACTGGTCATTTGCCTAAGGCTTCAAACATGGGGTGGAAAACCTGCTTGTTAGTACTTCTTTGTTCTGTGCCGTCTCTGTTCTGTCTATAAAGAGTCAGAGCTCCTTAACAGGACACGGTCAAAACTGGTATGAGCCACGTTTTTAGTGGGTGCAACCAAGCAAACTTTATTTTAAGTAGTTTGAGCTCAAACATATAGTTACAGCCCAACCGTCTCTTTCAGCGAACACCAACGTTGAAAAGAGTCTCCTAAAAACACTCCGGTCTTATTTCTCACTTCAGAGGCCTTTCTCTTCCTCTCGTAGACTTCGAAGACACCTTTTCTCTTGCGACTCTCAGCCATTTTCATAAGAACCCGTTGAGATACAAGTGCGCAACCCGTTAAGAAAAAGAGTGCGCATGTGCAAGGAGAAAACTGACCCGGGGCGAGCACGTATGACGGACTTACGCAAAGGCTTCGCCAGAGTGATTGACAGTTATGCGGACCAATGGTTGACGTGATCCACCCGGATGTAAAAGATCGATTGCTATACCTTTAAGCTAGGCCATTAAAAAGTACAGTTTACTCAAATTTATAAGTGGTATTAAAATATTGCACGTGTGTAAGTATTCTTTAAGTGTTGATTCAACCTAAAAACACAGTTAGAATAAGAAAGGACATGAAACAGCTCCGCTCACTCAGGATTAACAATGCTAAGAATTTAGAAACATTTAAGTAATGTGAACAAGATAATTTGAGTTGAATCAAAATCTGGGTTTAAAGTGTATTGAGGATGCAGCCTTCTGTGGACTTGGGCCGGCAAGGTCCCATAATGCACTGCGTTGCAAACGTTATAACGGCAGAGGAGAAAGCTCACAACTGTGGTGTTTTTTATAAATACAAATAATGACATCTAAATAAATAAATGCATATAAGTTGTCCGTTATAGTAGATAGTTGTATGTAACGTGTAAAATTTGCTGTGTTTTTTCTTTGTTTTGATGAAGAAGAAACTTATTTTCTGCATTTATCAGCAGGAAATGATGGTGTTTGAAATGTAGTCATTGTTATTTAAGGGACAAACTAGACATTTAAATATTTATTTCTCTTTTAATTGTAGAATAAAGCAGTGCTTGTTGGCATGATGTAACAGAGTACAGTTCTGTTCAAATTGCCATCCTTGTTCTCTCATACTCGGTAGAGCGGACTTTCTGGTGTACTTGTCAAGTACACCAGAAACGACCATAGTCTCCCATAATCAATTTTATGGTTCAATGCGTGAGTTTTTACTCACTGCTCGTAAATAAGTGTGCTGCATGGTGGTGCAGTGGTTAGCCCTGTTGACTCGCAGCACGAAGGTTGCAGGTTCGAAACTCGGCTGCGGCCTTTTTGCGTGGAGTTGCGTGTTCTCCCCATGCATGCGTGGGTTTCCTCCGGGTACTCCGGTTTCCCTCACAGATCACAACATGCCCTATAGGTTATAAACTGTACGTCGCTTTGGATAAAAGCGTCTGCCAAATAAATAAACATAAACATAAATAAATTAAACAATTTAAACCATCTCATGACCCCGCAACCCAGCAAGGATAAGCGGGTATGGATGGATGGAAACAGTCTCACGAGTCTGATTCTGAGCTCTCTCTTATCATAATTTTTCTGTTTACAGTATGCCGTGGAGATGGAGGCCAAGCTGGATCAGCTGCGTTCGATGGTGGAGGCAGCAGATCGGGACAAAGTGGAGCTGCTGAATCAGCTGGAGGAGGAAAAGAGGTGGGTTCTGTTAGTGGGTGTGGCAACAGGCACTCGGTTTGCTCTATTATTAGATGCATGGAATGAAAAATTTGTGATTAATAATCATCTTATAGCTTGAACCAGCTCTGTGGCCTGATGGTAGAGTGTCCACCCTGGCACTGGGAGATCGGAGTTCAAAATCCTGGTCGGGTCATACCAAAGACTATAGAAACGGGACCCAATGCCTCCCTGCTTGACACTCGGCTGTAAGGGGTTGGATTGGGGGTTAAACCACCAAATGGTTCCCAAGCGTGGCCATGTCTGCAGCTCACTGCTTCCCACGGGGATGGGTCAAATGCCGGGGACAGTTTTCATCACACCATGCCAGTGTGTGTGACAACAACAATAAAACCCTCTATTGTCCCTCATTGGGGGAATTCTGGTGCTCCAACAGCAAAGTTACAGGTAAGTTAAGAAAAAACGGTTTAGAGGAGGAAGAGTGAACCCTGCTGTGCTGATCACAGTGAGGGGCAAACTACCAGACCCTCTACTGGGTTGTAAGGTTGCCCTCTGAACAGTGAGACAGAAAAGGGTCGCATTTGCATTTTCATGAAAAGAATAAGTGTTTTATCTCCTTTCATTCAGGCTCCCAGCTGTGATTTATACAGATAAAGAGCTGACAAGAAAAAACTCATTACCTCCATCAAAGGCACCTGTCCATGGAAGAAGTGTTTGCTAAATCACGCTGGACGTTACCCACGCATTTTAACGTTATCTGACAACTTCACCTCGTCAGACATGTTGACCAGCGTGAAAACCACAAACCTGGATTTGCTTGTTGACAGTTTGCACGGAGTGTGTGTCACGGACATTTTCCTCCCAAATCTCAGCTACCTGCAGCAGCGCCTTCACAGCGCATTCTTATCTGGGGACCGGAAGCTTAAAGATGCTAGTTTTAACACAAGGTCAGATCATTTCTTATTACTGTAACATTTGTGCAGCACTCAAGCGCCAGACAAAGGGACATTTTGTTCCTAACGGTGGTTCATTAAGGTAGTCGAACAACCAGCCGAGATCAGGCTGCATCTGACTCCCTGCAGCTCCACCAGTCTCTCACAGCCAGCACGAGAGACCCCTACCCTAACCCAACGCAACAGCAGTCATGAACACATAACCAAAACCTCTCCAGGGTCATTACAGTATTTTGGAATATTTTCAGATGTTTAACGATGTCTCATAATAATTATACGATGATCTGGAATAATTTTCAGATTTTTTTCTGTCTGTTTATGAAGTTTTTCTGAGCAGAGTCACTGTCTAAACCTAAAATTTAAAAAATCACATTGATACTTTTTTAAATTTATTATTTCAACAGATTTTTGCAGCAATAAAAGTACACTCACTGGCCACTTTATTAGGTACACCTGTCCAACTGCTTGTTAACGCAAATTACTAATCAGCCAATCACATGGTGGCAACTCGGCGCATTTAGGCATATGAAATGGTCAAGACCAATGTGATTTAAGTGATTTTGAGCATGGCATATTTGTTGGTGCCAGACGGGCTGGTCTGAGTATTTCGGAAACTGCTGATCTTCTGGGATTGTCACACACAACCATCTCTAGGATTTACAGAGAATGGTCTGAAAAAGGAAAAACATCCAGTGAGCGGCAGATCTGTGGGTGAAAATGCCTTGTTGACGTCAGAGGTCAAAGGAGAATTGCCAGACTGGTTCGAGCTGATGGAAAGGCACCAGTAACAAATGACCACTCGTTACAACCAAAGTATGCAGAAGAGCGTCTCTGAACCCACAACAGGTGGAACCTTGAGGCGGATGGGCTACAGCAGCAGAAGACCACACCAGGTGCCACTCCTGTCAGCCAAGAACAGGAAGCCGAGGCTACAATTCACACACTCACCAAACATGGACACATGCTGTCTGCTCTGACGGCTCTCCATTTCTGCTGCGACACTTGGATGGTAGCGTCAAATTTGGCATCAACAACATGCAAGCATATTGATAGATGTGGTAATCCAACATAATCCAGATTTAAAGATGAAATGGTTGTTGCCTTCAATAATTTTCTTCCAGAATGAGCTAAGTCAGCACACTAGTTTCTAACAAGCAACCCTAACCTGAACTGCTGAAGTGGATGATCTGATTTAGATCCGATTTAGAAGAAGTTGTTTGTTGTTGACAGGAAAGTGGAGGACCTGCAGTTTCGTGTGGAGGAAGCGTGCATCACCAGAGGAGACCTGGAGGTAACTCCATCCTGTTTGTGTCACTGATCAGACCACTGCTCCTTCAGTCGTGCTCCCGTTGAAATCAGACCGTTTCAGATTAAAGAACATGAAGTTAACCGAAGTTTTTCTTTCACCTGCACTTGTGTAGTAATTCATCTTCTGTCCTGCTGGGACTCAACTTTCTTCCTGCTTCCACGTTCATTTGTTCATCGAGTTCTCAGATGGGGAGCCTAAGCCACGCCCATCTGCCCCCAAAAATGAATGGAGGTCTATGAGCTGATGAGTTATTTTCTGATCCTGTTGGAAATGTGCCACGGATTTAATACATTATTTATTTTGATGCTAAAACAGCGTTTTTCAACAGGCGTCAACATTTATTTTAGGTTTTGTGCAGAAAGACGTATGTTACACCAAATTCACATAACCGAACCAGACACAGAGGAAAAGAAGAAAAATGGCTGTGAGTTTAGCGAGCTGCACATCCTTCGTCCAAAGAAAACCACCTTAAATCTGGCCATGTGGTAAGTAGCAGCTATGCTAGGAGAGACGTCATACGCCACGCTCGATAGTTGTTTCAGTTACGAATTTTTCAGGCAGATAAATCTCAAATTACATGACAGTCAAAACTCACATAATTACAACAAATGTGTGATTCAGGGAGTGAAGCAAAGTGGATCAGAAAACAACTTTTACAGCCCCGTTCACTTCCAGTTTTCTTTTTAGCCGGGGACCCATGAGCCAACCGGAATGGGAGACCTATTTCTGTTCTCACAGCCGTCCTCTAATCATCTGCTCATCCACATGCCTGCTTCTTGTCTTCATTCTTTGCTTTTGCTCGTTTTACCTGCATCCTCCTCACTCTTGGGAAGAATCGAGGCTCCTATTAGTTTATTTGAAGTGTCGGTGGAAGAGAAATGAGCATATCTGAGCTACTGGAGATATAAATGTACAAAAAATACCCTAACGCAGACTATTTGAAACGCCCGAGGTGCTGGAGTAAGTTCTCGCCCACTGCTCTTCTTTCTGTCCTGCACAAGGCTGGCATGTCAGTGTTGCATTGCTGTTTGTTCTTCTCTTCCTGCTCTCTCTTACTAACAGACGCAGACCAGGCTGGAGCATGCCCACATAAAGGAGCTTGAGCAGAGCCTGCTCTTTGAAAAGACCAAAGCTGAAAAACTCCAGAGGGATTTAGAGGACTCTAGGGTAATGCTGGCACATGCAGTCCTACATCAGACTTAGTGATGGGCCCTTCACTGGGTTTACTGGTGACCGGCAGCATGTTAAACAACGTGGGGAAACTGCACAGGGCCATTTGCCTGTGTCTTCTCTTATAACCTGGGTTTGTCTAAACAATGTGCACGTGTGCATGAGTTTACCTACAGATATTGTTTAGAGATAGCTGAAAGGTTAGCTTTGTGCATGATTTATCAGCAGTAGCCTTAAAAGACGAGGCTAGGCTCATTCATATTCATTCTGCCTGCAGATCCCACATAAAGACATAAAACCAGTTATATCAGGACGTTGTGGATCGGTGGGCAGAATACTTCGAAGACCTCCTCAATCCCACCGACACGTCTTCCAGTGAGGAAGCAGAGTCTGGGGACTTTGGGTTGGCCTCTCAAATCTCTGGTGCTGAGGTCACTGAGGTGGTTAAAAAGCTCCTCTGTGGCAAGGCTCCAGGGGTGGATGAGATCCGCCCGGAGTTCCTTAAGGTTCTGGATGTTGTGGGGCTGTGTTGGCTGATGTGGCTCTGCAATATCGCGTGGACATCAGGGGCAGTCCCACTGGACTGGCAGACCGGGGTGGTGGTACCCTTATTTAAAAAGGGGACCGCAGGGTGTGTTCCAACTACAGGGGGATCACACTCCTGAGCCTTCCTGGTAAGGTCTATTCAGGGGTTCTGGAGAGGAGGGTCTGTCGGATTGTTGAACCTCAGATTCAGGAGGAGCAATGTGGTTTTGGTCCTGGCCGTGGAACACTGGACCAGCTCCATACCCTTAGGGGGATCCTGGAGGGTGCGTGGGAATTTGCCCAACCAGTCTACATGTGTTTTGTGGATCTGGAGAAGGCGTTTGACCGCGTCCTTCGGGGGGCCCTGTGGGGGGTACTCTGGGAGTATGGGGCACCAGGCCCTCTGATACGGGCTGTTAGGTCCCTGTATGACCGGTGTCAGAGCTTGGTCCGCATTGCCGGCAGTAAGTCGGGCTCGTTCCCAGTGAGAGTTGGACTCCGCCAAGGCTGCCCTTTGTCACCGATTCTGTTCATAACCTTTATGGACAGGATTTCTAGGTGCAGCCAAGGTGTGGAGGGCATCCGTTTTGGTGGCCTGAGGATCAGGTCTCTGCTTTTTGCAGATGATGTGGTCCTGCTGGCTTCATCAGAACGTGATCTTCAGCTTTCGCTGGAGCGGTTCGCAGCCGAGTGTGAAGTAGCTGGGATGAGAATCAGCTCCTCCAAATCTTGAGACCATGGTCTTGATTCGGAAAAGGGTAGAAGGCCTTCTCCGGGTCAGGGATGAGGTCCTGCCCCAAGTGGAGGAGTTTAAGTATCTCGGGGTCTTGTTCACCAGTGAGGGAAAACTGGAGCGTGAGATCGATAGGGGGATTGGTGCTGCGTCTGCAGTGATGCGGGCGTTGTACCGGTCTGTCGTGGTGAAGAGAGAGCTGAGCCAGAAGGAGAAGCTCTCGATTTACCGGTGGATCTACGTTCCTACCCTCACCTATGGTCATGAGCTTTGGGTAGTGACCGAAAGAACGAGATCACAGATAGAAGCGGCCGAAATGAGTTTTCTCTGAAGAGTGTCTGGGCGCTCCCTTAGAGATAGGGTGAGAAGCTTGGTCATCCGGGAGGGGCTCGGAGTAGACCCGCTGCGAACCGGTAAATTGAGAGCTTTGCCTTCAGACCCACATGGAGAGGAGCCAGTTGAGGTGGCTCGGGCTTCTGTTCAGGACGCCTCCCTGGTGAGGTTTTCCGGGCACGTCCAACCGGGAGGAGACCTAAAGGTAGACCCAGGACACGGTGGAGGGACTACGTCTCTCACCTGGCCAGGGAACGCCTTGGGATTCCCCTGGAGGAGCTGGCCCAAGTGGCTGGGGAGAGGGAAGTCTGGGCCTCTCGTCTTAGGCTGCTGCCCCCACGACCCGACTCCGGATAATAATAATAATAATAATACATTTTATTTCAAGCGCCTTTCAAGACTCTCAAGGTCACTTTACAAGTGCAGGTACATACAAGAAGAAAAAACACCAGTACAAATAAATACATAAATAATCAAGATTAAAAAAGGAGCTACCAGAGTCCCAAAAAGAAAAACACCATTTGAAGTCACGGACAACAAAACGCGTTTGGGCCTAGAACATGGTGACTGGTGTTTTTTTCAGCGAAGATACCCGAGGGGAGGGGTGAGACATCAGGTGTCAAAATACTTCTTCATAGGTTTGCTTTAAAAATGAATGTGTGGACATCATTATTATGTTTTCTACATTTTACTGTTGCAGGTGGTCACGGTGTCTGAGCGCTCCCGGATCATGGAGCTGGAGAGGGAGGTGGCAGACCTCCAGCTCAGGCTCCGGGCGTCCCAGCAGAAGGAGGACGCTGCGTCTCTGTCGCAGCAGCAGATCAGCAGCCTCAAGACTCAGGTTCAGTCTCAGGAGAAGAAGGTTTGTGGGGAAACACCAGAGCTCTTTATTTTGAGTCAATCCCAGCTCTGTACAGATGTGTGTGTGTGTGTGTGTGTGTGTGTGTGTGTGTGTGCGTGCGTGCGTGTGTGTGTGTGTGAACAGGTCAGTGAGCTGAGTGTCGACCTGGAGAGCAAACAGAAAGAGCTTCAGTCTGTGCTGAAAGATAGGACGTCTCTGCAGGAGCAGCTGACCGACCAGGTGGGACGAAGGGGAGAAACTCGGGAGATAATAATTAGAAACAGTGGAGAAATGGTCACGTGCTGTTTTCAGCCAACATAACAGCAAACATGTTTACAAGCACACCTGTACTCATTAACGAACCCAGAAGTAAAAGGACTGAGTCGTGTTTGAAGCAGTGGAAATGTGGAAACAATCAGAAATATAACACAGAACTTCACGTAAGGCCCTTACAATATTAAATGTATGTGGTACCACAAAAGTTCAGTCATACCTTTATAGACAGCTGAATAGAAATACATACTCGTGTACATTTTGTAGCTAAATGTGCTAAAAATGTATTTATTCTCTCACAGCTTGTAAACTAAAGTATTTAGACGTGAGCTGGAGCTGTGTGTACAATCAGTAACTACAGTGCCTTGCTCTACAGCGGGGCGACAGTGGCAGATGAGTTAACTGCCTGCCCTGTAACTGGAGGGTTGCAGGTTCAAGCCCCTTCCGTTGCAGTAGTGTCCTTGGGCAAGACACTTCAACCTCCTTGCCTGCTGGTGGTGGTCGGAGGGGCCGGCGGCGTCAGTGCGCCCCAGGGCAGCTGTGGCTACATCGTAGCTCCTCACCACCGGCGTGTGAATGTTTATGTGAATGGGTGATTGACTGTTGTATTGTAAAGCATCTTGGGGGGTTAAAGAACCAGAGAAGACTGTTTACCGTTCACTCTCCTGGATCTTTTACTCATTTTGACTCCTTTACTGCCACAAACTCAAGTAGCACTTCATTATGAACCGGAGTGAAACCGACACGCTTTTCAGATAATGTAAGCAAATAAAATTCAGACAGTTATGGTGTGCATTTGGAAATTTTGTAAACCACCTTGTAGGTATGATATTGCTTAAAACCAATACCACGATATACTGAGGGTTTCACCTCGATAACGATAAGTGGACGATAACTACAGGAAGAAACAAAAGTTGTCCACTAGATGGGGCTGTCACATGTTTCACATTGAGTCACATTTTTACACGACTGAGGGTGGTGCCGCTTCTTAAAGGGACACGAACACTGCCAACCTACACCTCTTTTCATTTTGTATCATCAGATTTATTGACATGAGAAAAATGATAACGATACGTTTTCGATTTGTTGCCCAGCCCTACCACCTGGCCAGTGCTGCCTCCACCAGTCACACTAGTGAGATGATATTTTTGTTGTTTTTATTTAAAATGACCGCAGCGTTTTACTTCCAATGTTTCCAAATGATTACATTTTATCTACCAAAGCTGTTTGTTCTGCTGTTGAATGACTACAAGTACACATGTAGACGTGCTGCAATAACATTTAACTAATTACCAACGAGGAAACACACGCACACACACACACGCACACACACACACACACACACACCTCATTAGAAGGCATTTTAATCCACACTCCTGCATGTTTTCTGAGGCCCGTCGTTATTCCCCGGTTATCTCAAGGTACAAGAATGTTGCTGCGTAAGTTATTAGCCTCCAAGTCGTGCTGATTTCTCTCCATTTCAGAGACAAAAGCTTGAGATCGCTGAGGAGGAGAATGAGAAGATGGCAAAGAACGCACAGGGTAAAGACATCACATGTCCTTCTACCTGCTCTCTGGTTAGTCTCTGTGTGAAAGGACTGTTAGTGGATCTTTGTCTTGTCTTCTGACAGAGCTGGAGGAAAGTGTGCAGCGTTCAAAGGCGGACCTCCAAACCCTGATGAAAGAGAGTCAGCTCAGAGAAACCCATCTGAAAGACAAGCTAACAGAGGTATGGCAGCTGTGTGCGGACAGTGACTAACCTGAACGATGCTAAGAGTTTAAATGTGATGCATCTTTATTTTTGATTATTTACTTTATTACAGATGTGTGAAGCTTTTGAGGGAGGGGGTCGTTTTGGCTTTGTTTTTTACTTGAGGCAGAAACAGAGAACTGAATAAAAAATATGCATTTGTTATTAGATGGTTCACATCAAGGGGCTGTATGGTAAAGCAGCTGGTAGCACTGCTGCCTCGCAGCAAGAAGGTTGCAAGTTTGAATCCCGTGGAGTTGGCATAAATGAGTTTCCTCCCACAGGGCAGAAACCTTCATCTTAGGTTGAGTGATGCCTCCAGATTGTCCCTAGCTGTGAGTGTGTGACTGGTTGTTTCTCTGTGATGGACTGGGAACTTGTCCTGGGTGTTCCCCGCCTCTCGCTTGGTGACTGCTGGACACCAGCTCCCTGAAACCCTAGTGAGGAAATGCACTTAAAGGCATATTTAGCAAGTTCTTCATATATTTAAAGCTTTTTCTTGAGCCAGTATGTGCTAAAATGACTCTTTACAGGGTTAATGAAATATCACTCAGCCCCCACCGCCACTGTGGTCAAATTAGCCGCATTTGCAACTTCAGTGTGGCAGGCCACCACCTGTTGGACTTTAAAATGAGCTGACATACCTGGCTCAGCAGTCTGCATGTTCCCTGCATGTTTTAGATAATGAACACAGCTGTTTCATTTAGTGATGAATCACTACTGTAGACACTAATGAGCGCTGAGGGGACGTTTCAGCAGTTAGATTGAAGCCGGGCGTACACTACGACTTTTTCACTTCTTGAGCGGATTTTCCCCTCGTGCGAGAGTCTACGAGATCGGGCGAGTTCTGTGCTGAGCGTTGTGTAGTGTACAGGGGTTACGAGAGGCAATTAACACCACGGGAACAGCTACCGATCAGCAGTTGTAAGCTCGAGGGAATTTCTGGTGTGTTTGATGTTTTGCTCGTCCCTCGTGAGGGTAGCAGGGCTGCGAGTGGCTGCGACACAAACAGTACCAGAACCGCTCACGACTAGGGCTGCACGATGTTAGAAATACCTGCCATATGTGATAACACTGATTAATATTGCGATGACGATATTACTTGCGATAAATAAAAACTTTACTCGGGAACAAAAATAATCAAAAACAAAGATATAAAAAATGACAACAGAATCATAAAAATGAGAAAAGCAAAAGATGCGAGGAAAGGGGAAAAGAAAATAAACAAGAAAGGGCGATCAGCGGATCCCGGGAAAAGCAGAATCAGCAGAAAGAGCAGAACAAAGCTAACTCAGGTGTTTGCTAACCACCAGAATTAAGTGCCGTCCGCCTTGGGGGTGGGCGTCTGACCTATGAGAACCCACCCAGTGGGCCAAGTGGGTGAAGAGCTCTATTTGATTTGTTAACAAAAATCATGCTTCCGTTTGACTGACAGAACGCGTTATTGCAGCAAACACTTGAGCCGACCATTCATTGCGATATTTGTCTGTTCTTTGCGATGTGCATATTGGGCGTGCTGACATCATGATGACGATATATTTGTGATATATTGTGCAGCCCTACTCACGACGCATGCACAAACATGCATCAACACGACTCGCCACCTTTTTCCGTATTAACACACGTTAGTCGTTTTCATTTTTACACTTTTTTTCGCACACAATGACGAGGATTGTCAAGGAAGCGTGTTTGCCGTGTTTATGTCAAATTAATCTGATAAAACATGTATTTACTTTTTTCTTTTGTCGTCGTCCTCCAGCCCCCATAAGCACATGTGTATCCTCCTACAGCACTCTCAAAGGACAACAGACATCAATAACTACACAATAAAAAGTCCAAAGTGTCGAGTAAAAACTGCTATTTTTAGCATATTTGTAGGTCCGACGCGTTGTTACCACACGTACAGTGTGAGCACATGACTAACCCTAACCCTAACCCTAAGTCGTACAGTTTGAGCTGAAGCTGAACGTTACGAGTGAAAAAGTCGCACAGCGTCTGTCCGGCTTAAGGGTGTTTTTTTTTTACACTTTATTGAAATAAATGATATAGCAGGGTTAGGGTTAGTACAACACGAGTAAGGAAACTTACTAAATTTAACAAAGGCTTACATTAATGAGATGGTGAAGCTAAATCCAATTGCTTTTAAACAAAAAACAAAATAAAAACCAGGAGCAACAAACAACGCTTCAGTACAGGCCGGCGTATTCAAAACAGTAGCTGCTTTAAGACTTTTATACATGAGGAGGTTTTTGTGTTCATATCCGCGATTAATTGAAGTGACTTGAAATATTGGCAAAAGTAGTTTGTAGTAAAACATAGGAGCGCTATTTTTCCAATCATACAAGTGTTTAAAATGTTTACATAGGATAATAACAAAATTAATAACATCTGAGATTTCGGGATCCAAACCATCCATAAAAAAGAGAATATCTTTAGGTGTAAAGGAAGGCGCATTATACATTCTCAGTGAGATCCAACTGTAGATGTCAGACCAACAATTGTTGACAGGTTGAGTTGGAAAAAAAAAGTTCCAATGTTTCTTGGGTTAGGGTTACAAAAACACTTGGATTGGGTTCAAAATTACATCTTTTATGCAGGAGCTCATTAACAGGGTAGATTCCAGATATAATCCTAAATTGTGTTTCTTTCATCTTAGGTGCGAGTGGATATATTATATAATAGGAGAATCTTTTCTTTTTGCAAGTGTTATCGAGGTCTTGTCTAACATTAATATTGTAATTACAGAACGTCTTTTAGTGTGATGTTATCTAGTATCAGTGACGGTAACGTTGTTCTAATTGTTGAGTATTTTAAGGTGTTCTGAACAAGATGTAGCAGAGCTTTTGGGATTGCTTTACATACCTCGTTATAAGTATGGTATGAGACCCTTATTTTATGTTTCTCCATAAATTCATCACGCAATAGCAACAAGCCATTTGCATGTAGTAAGTCATAAATAAAATATATACCGTTATCATGCCAGTCTGATTTAAACAAGGATTTTTTGTTGATGGTTATATTGTTCCACAATAAGGAATTGTGCGGTGAAAAGTTGTGAGTATAAAGCAACTTCCCGTAGTCCTATGCTTGCTTATAAAAGTTGGATAATTTGAGAGGGATTTTGGATCAAACAAAATCACATCTGAGCAAAAACTCCAAACCTCCGACCCTACTGAAAAGTTTATTAGGAATGTGATACCATATAGATGGTGGATAAGAAATGCAATCTTTTATACATTTAATTCTGAACGCAGCAATTATGGATTCAAAGTCTAGAGCTTTTAAATCTCCATTTACATATTCTTTAACTAATTGTGATTTACGTATATAGTGAGTTTTATTTTTCCAAATAAAATTAAATATAATAGAGTTGGACTGTTTAATTGTCTTTGGAGATGTAAACATTTAATAACAAGGGAATATGAGTCTTGACAGACCTTCAGCTTTGGATAGCAAACTACGGCCTAAAATGGATAGATCACGTGTTAGCCAATGATTTAGTGTTTTTTAACTGCATTGAGCTTGGGAATTAGGTTATTATCTTCTTGATCCTTGACATTTTTACAGATTATCAAGCCAAGGTATTTAACCTCTTCTTTCACTGGAATATTATTAACAAGGCTTTGTCTGCAACTGTGTATCACACTTTTTAGGATTAAGTGTTAAGCCTGATGCTTTTGAAAAGGAATGGACTTTGTCTATTGCAATAGGGACCATGTTTTGGTTTTTAAGAGATAGGGCCGTATCGTCTGCAAATGGACTGATCTTTAATCAATTTCCCTCTGGGATTAATAAAATATTTTTGAATTGAATTGAATTGAATTAAATTCTTTCTAGAATGTTTATTCCTTTTAAATCTGGAGAGCATTTTATGTATATGGCCAACATTTCAGCTGCAAATATAAACAACAAGGGGCTAATAGGGCAGCCCAGTCGAGTTCCACGATTGATGCAAAAACTATTGGAAAACCCTTGGTTGAGTGCAATACTGCTTGTAGGGCTGCAACAAACGATTATTTGGATAATCGATGAATCGGATGGGGTCTCGACACGATTAAGCGATTAATCGGATTACATAGGGAAATTTTTAAAAACTGCTAGGGAAACGTTTTTTCTCTCCTTCCTTCACTTTATTAAACACAACGTTATTAGAAAATAGTTCAATAGCAGAAAAACAACATGCTATCACCTAAAATGTCTTACAGCTGCTATTTGTGACGACTGCTGCTTGTTGAGGTGTGCATGATTTACTTGACAATAATAAGCTGCTCAGTGTTTGTTGTTTTGCCCTGGAGATCATAAAGAATAAAGTTAGCCTATTATTACACAACATGAACTTTTAGCATAGCAAGTAAGAAAGTGTTGACTCACCCAGCCCCTTCCATGTGTACCATGCGGTTCGCCAGACAACACCTCTTTCTGCCTCATTTTTCAAAAAAAAAAAAAAAGAAAAACCAGAAATGAAGCCTTCAGAATACTTTAGAAGGGGATGGGCAAGGGAGGATAAGGTGTATAGACAGAGACCCTAAGCTACACCTATCTGTGACCTAAAATGCTTGGTCCAAGTTAAACAGCTTCAGGCAATTCTCATCTGTCTTGTTTGATCTCATTTGTAGACAATTATTATAATTGGGGATGTCAAACAACTAATTTTTAAATGTAATTAAACATTGGCTGTGAATTAATCAAAATTAATCACTATTTCCAAAAATGACTGTAAAAATACCAAATAAAACAAAAGTAAATGAATGCCGCCCTCCTTGTGATGATGCCCTGGGCAACCGCCATAAAGTCACATCAAGAAATGCTGCTGATCGTTCCAATGATCCCAAATTCCATTTCCAAAACATCACCAAACAACTTCATATTTTAAATGGACTCCCATTACGCCACATGAAAGCAACTGAACCCAAAAATACATTAACCAGTATATAATCGCACTCTCACACAACACAACAGTGGCTCTCTGGCGCCCTCTT